TCCCATTTCAGGAGGGATCTGACAAATGATGTTCCGATTCTGATCGTATGCCTCGTCTTGGACGAATGCTGTCTTCAAATCCATATAGAAAATACTCCAGCCCTTTGTTTGCGGCTGCTTGGATTACAAGGCGAAAACCGCTCCTTGATGCAGCAGGACTGTCGGTCTGCTGATCATTCTTCTGCTTGTCTTGGTATCCTCTGAGGACCCAACGAGCCTTGGTCTTCAGGAAGTTACCGTCCTTGTCTCGCTTTAGGGTAAGGACCCAGCGACCGGTGACCCAATTCCTGACATGAATCTTTCGTGTGTCGACCAGGTTGAACACTTCATTGTCAAGCCAAGATTTGCACTCGAGAAGCTTGGCTTCAAGGAATTGCTTCTGATAAGCTCTTGTCTCAGCGGCTGTCGCTTCCTTCCGCTTCTTACCAATTAGTGCGGATGTGGATGAAGCCTTCAACGATCCTTGCTTGGATGAGTACAAGACTAGGAGTGCTCGGTCATCGTCCGTCATGTTCTTGCAAAGCTGGTTTATCTGTGTATACATTTCTGGTGAGAGAATCCGCGTTGGGCGGATGTCTTGAAGGTCCCCTTGATGCGTCCAAGACGGACAGGGTTGTCTTCGATGTCTGTCGGAACAGTAAAGGATCCGGTGTTCGCACAGATCTTCTGTTCAGCTGTCATGAATGACCAATGTGCTTCGTCAATGACGAGGTCGGCTTCCTGATCATATGCTCTTGTCCTCTGAGAGTCTTCAGATTCTCCGTCTTCTTGGTCAGTGTGCTGCGTGGTTCTCTGTGAACTTCCAGTGCCGGATGAAGTTGGAACGTGAGGGATGAGCTCTTCCTCACTCTCGGATTGCATCGGCAAATTGACTGGACTGTTCGGATTGAAATTGGATGAAGCTGCAGGTTCACCTTGAGGAGAAGGTTCAGGTGAATCATCACCTGGCTTCTTCTTCTTCTTACCAGTCTTCTGCTTCTTAGGTGAACTACCCTGCAAGGGTGCAGTTGTTTCGTCTTGCCCAAGATGGGGCAGTTCAAGCTCTTCATCGTTGTCTTCTGCTTCGGGATTCGTCAGAATTGCAGGTGGTGAAGGTACCACGACAGTTGGAAGAATTGGCTGAGAGGGTTGCGACTGAGACGGCAAAGAGACATCACCCCCCAGTCGATTGAGTCCACTTGAGGACGAAATTGCCGTTTAACTGCACTGTCCGGAAATACACCCGGTGCTGGCGGCGTGGGATGATCGGGTCGAATATTCTGATCAGGCTGATTTGGAGAATCTGGCGGCTGCTGTTCCGGTGCTTGTCCGGTGGAGTTGGAGGTCTTTGATCGGCGACTGCTGTTCCTCCGTCGCGGGATCCATTAGATCCACCTCGATGGGCACTGGCCGGATGGCAAGCGCGTCGGAGAATGGACGGATGAGAAAATCACAGCATGCCACGTCTTCAAATCATAGTTCTCCCAATTGCACTTGGATGCTGGTAAGACCGAAATTCTGCTCAGCTGATCTGGTTGACAGAAGGCTATGCATGCATCGTTATTGATGCCAATCGTGTGGACGTATGCTGTGCATGCATCAAATTCGGCGGATGAAACGCCAGTCGTTTGGATCTTGTTTGAAGATATCAATCTCAGTCCTTTGGAGGGTGCTGTTTCATGGTCTTCTGAAACTTCTGGACTAGCCGACTCTGGATGACCAGCGGTTGAACATTCTCGTTGAATGGGAGGTCCTTGGATTCTGACAGCGGTGCTGCTGCTAGTCATGTTGAACTCCTGATGGATGGCTTCCATCTCCTCCCTGAGAATGTCTACCTGCTTGTTGGTGAATGGATCGAAAATGTCCTCGAGAAGGTACACTTCGTTGTCAAGCGGTTTCACCTTCAGGTGACGAAGGATGATGCGCGCGAGGTCCTGGCAGAACTGGTAAGGATATATCTGTACCAGTTTAGCTCTGCTTCCGAAAGTGCCGGCGTTTCCCTCGTTCTTACACTTTCTGAAGACTGGTCTCATTACCTCGGGAGGTAAGCAGTGCATCAACTTATTGGTAAAGTCTGCGTGGAGGCATCCTCATCTCACCTCCTGCGGGTCATGATGGCCCGTGTCCGCGAGGGGCCGAGAATCCACTAATCAACAAACTCATGAGGCTTCAGCCAAAATGGCAACACGACCACGTTAAAGACACATTAAAGACTGTTGCTGCGTAAACGAGACATAATATTCCCTCATCCCCCCCCACCCGCCCACGCACAAATAAAAGAAGAAACGCGCAAACACGCAACGTAAACACACAAGCGACAAAACAAACAAACCAAAAAAACAAACCAACCAACCAACCAGCCAACCAACAAACGCGCAAACACACACGCAAACACACAAGCAAACAAACAAGCAACACACACTTAAACTCCAGATGGAGGGTGCTAATCTTTCGAGTACAACTGGTAAGTTTCGGCTTGGATAAGGTTCTTCATGCATAAGTTTCGGCTCGCAATGCACTCGGCTTCCCTCTAGTGTCGAAAACGTTACCCGAAAGAACAAGAAGCACAAACAGCGCCGCAACCAAGGGGGCCAAAAGGACGTTGCATCACGGCAGGTACGTCAGTCCAGCGTCCTGGACTGATTTCACGATCCAATGGTGCGGTCTTCGTTGGGCGATGCACACCCAAGGGGCCATCGCCCCCCTGCGCTCAATTGTGGTGACAGGGTATTCTGCCACTCCGCACACACACGCCCCTCAAGGAGGGGCGAGAAACACTTTTTTGGGGGGGAGAAGAAACGCCCGAAAGACGGACGAAGACCCCAACAGAAAACAAACGGAGCAAGCACCCAAAAGAAACAGAAAGCCCCACGTTGGGTCTCCGCGGGCAAGACCCCAACCAAGAAACACGAAAAACAGGGGAACCCGAGTTTTAGGGTCACTGCCGGGGGCAAAAACCCCAAACAGCCCAGAAACCCTCCTAAACCTGGAAGACGACCACCACCGCAAAGTTGAAGACCGAGAAGAGGACCAGGCCATCCCTAAACGGGCGAAGAGGAAGAACAGGAAGTAGTTGGAAAAAGGGCGGGGGGGGAGGAAACGAAAGAAAGGAAGAGAGAAAGAGAGAAAGAAAGAAAGAAAGAAAGAAAGAAAGAAAGAAAGAAAGAAAGAAAGAAAGAAAGAAAGAAAGAAAGAAAGAAAGAAAGAAAGAAAGAAAGAAAGAGAGAGAGAGAGGGAGAGAGAGAGAGAGAGAGAGAGAGAGAGAGAGAAAGGGAGAGAGAGGGAGAGAGAGGGAGAGAGAGAAAGCGTATTTAGGGCGTCGCAACCGCCCGGGGGAAAAAGAAAGGAGCAGGGTGCGTATTTAGGGCGCCGCATCCCGCCCGGGAAGAAGGAAAAACGGAGAGAGAGGAGGAGGAGAGAAGGAGAAGGGAACCGGAGAAAAGGGAAGGAAACGAGAGAAGGGGAGAAGGAGGGAAAGAGGGAAAGAAAGAAAGAAAGAAAGAAAGAAAGAAAGAAAGAAAGAAAGAAAGAGAGAGAGAGAGAGAAAGTGTGCGTATTTAAGGCGACGCATCCCGCCCAGAGAAACACAAGGACAAAGCCAATGCTCGAGGAAGAGGGCGACGAATCCCGCAGAGGGGCCAAGAGGAAGAGCACGATGAAGCAACGGTGGGGGACGAAGACGGCAAGCCAAACAGCGCGAGGGGGCCCAGGACCACGAACAAATAGGCAAACAAGAAGAGGACGACGACGAAAAAGGCAAACAACGCGGCAGAGAAGAAGCCATCCCTAAACGGGCCAAGAGGAAGAACAGCAACACGCGGAAGACGGAAGGCCGGAAGAAGGAACGGGAGGAAGGAGAAGCCATCCCTAAACGGGCGAAGAGCAAGACGACGGACACGCGGACGACGAAGGCGAGGAGGGAGGGTGAAACGTAGCTATGAAGATGTGGCTGTCTTCCGTTTAGTGAAACCTCGCTCCTGGTTAAATGTGAAATTCCGCTGGTCTATGATAAGCACGCTGAGGTCAAATTTTCCGACAGAGCCGGCCCGGGGTCACACGATGGGTACACCCGAGGATTCCCCACGAATGGGGTGTGCACACTTAAACTCCAGATGGAGGGTGCTAATCTTTCGAGTACAACTGGTAAGTTTCGGCTTGGATAAGGTTCTTCATGCATAAGTTTCGGCTCGCAATGCACTCGGCTTCCCTCTAGTGTCGAAAACGTTGCCCGAAAGAACAAGAAGCACAAACAGCGCCGCAACCAAGGGGGCCAAAAGGACGTTGCATCACGGCAGGTACGTCAGTCCAGCGTCCTGGACTGATTTCACGATCCAATGGTGCGGTCTTCGTTGGGCGATGCACACCAAAGGAACCATCGCCCCCCTGCTCAATTGTGGTGACAGGGTATTCTGCCACTCACACACACACACACACACACACACACACACACACACACACACACACACACACACACACACACACACACACACACACACACACACACACACACACACACACACACACACACACACACACACACACACACACACACACACACACACACACACACACACACACACACACACACACACACACACACACACACACACACACACACACACACACACACACACACACACACACACACACACACACACACACACACACACACACACACACAAACACACACACAAACACACACACAAACACACACAAACACACAAACACACAAACACACAAACACACAAACACACAAACACACAAACACACAAACACACAAACACAAACACACCAACATGCACACACGCACACAGACACAATTACACACACCACACAAACACTCCCACGCACGCACGCACGCACGCACCCACCCACCCACCCACGCATGCACCCACGCACCCACGCACCCACGCACGCACGCCCGCACGCCTGCCCCACACACAAACGTGCAATACGCAGCCGCCAAAAAGAACATAAAAAGGGGGGCGTTCGTGGCTTCATAGGTGTTTAAGTCGAGCATCTCGTGGCTACCCGCATTGCATAGGCCCTTCCTGTTTGGGTCGGGTTTGTCTTCGTTACTTCGAGCACACACTTCTGAAGTTGAGGCCCCTCGCGTCCGGACTTCCAGCATGGGGACTGCGAAGAAGATTCGCTTAAGTGGGATCTCGACGTCGCAACATACTCAAGGCAGCTCCAAACAACGGACCGACTCAAGGGCAATGCCCTGCGCATCGCTTGCCAAAATGCTCGGGCTTTTGGGGCGATTACACTGGCGCTTGTAGGCTAAGAGGCCTTTCTTGGTAAAACTTAGGCGCTCGCAGGCTTAAAGGCTTCTAGTTGAAGACAAAGGCTTACGCGTTGAAGCACTTCGAAGACAATGGTGTTGACTCGCTACCATGCTCCCCAGACGGTCGAGGCAGGCTTTAGCACATCAGCATACTTAAATGCCGCCGCAAATCTGACATGCAACATGGCCTCGTTTGATGATGGGGCACTTGATGGGCCGATCGAAATGCAAAGTGCAAACCGGGCTCAAAGCCTGCGCCCACTGGAGGATTGCTGCCGAAGCTTTCATCTGGCCGTAGGGGCTCATCTGCTGGGCCATGCCTGGCGGCTTCGTGCGTGTCTTGCACACAGCAAGGGCCCAAATTCATTCAAAACCCTGGTCCTTTGGAGAAATACATTGCTTACTCCTTGCTTGCTTTGGCCCACGGCTGGCTTTGCGGAACTATCTGCGTCAGCACCCAGGTTGTTGTGTGACCTTGAAACATTTGGGTGTTGGGCGTGCTTCGTGCTGCTTGTTTTGCGTGTTTTTTCCATGCTTCAGGGGAGGCTGAAACAAAGTGTCGCCTCGTTTTGATCGCCAACATTATGACATGCAACAGGTGAGACAAGCCAACTTGCGCACCTGAGGAGGTCACATTCCGCGGGAAAGAGAAAGCATTGGTACAACACCCTATCTGGGCCACTTGTCATAATATCAACTATGATCAACCCATGACACACTCACGCCGGGAATGCTACTGTCGGGGTCAGAGCAAATCGAAGTGAGTCGCAGCTGCGAAAGTTATTGAATTGGTACTGCGGGGAACACCACCCTTTGGAAGTTGTCCGGCAGGCAGGCAAGCCAAGCCGACCCACATCCCCACAATGAGGTCAGGAGCTGCCTGGTCTTGTTCGTCACCACCACCGGATGCCAACATGGAAACTAGCTCATTTCAGACCAATAAGAACCCGAATGCACCACTGGCACTGAAGGCACTGAAGGTGCGGTTGAGCTGCCGTCGGCTTTCTCCAAAAGGTCCGGCCGAAGGCCTGCCTGACGCCAGTTTCAAATGAACGGCTCATCACTTCGAATGAACCGCTTGGTCAATGCAATGTCAGCCAATTGAGTAGCAAAGCACAAGCTGATCGATACACCCACTGTTTCACATCAATGTCAGACATCCCTCGACTGGTGGTTCGGGGTTGCACATGCACTGGCGGGCTCGTAACAGCTACCGCTCCTCCCCCAGCCTGAGGCAAATACTTAGACAGCAACCAAATCAAGCAGCACATAGCTCCCAAATGACATGAACAAATCAAACAGCAAGGCTAAAGGGCACCTTGATGGCGCTGTACGCAACCACGCTCAGCTCCTCCAGCACCTGGCAACTCAAAACGCCGCTGGCGCCAGCAGCCACATTTTGCGTGCGGGTGCGGCGGCCATCTGAGGCCATAGAGGCTCTGATGGCTGGCGCCCTGCTGGTGCCGACCCAAGCGCCTGCTTCTCCGAATCTCCACTTTGCCTTCGGGGCAACTGATGCAAATCGGTTGCCTCAATTCTATGAAGCAGGCACAATGATGCGATACGCGGGATGTTGCGCAGCAAAAGGAATCTTGATGCAAACCAGCAAAGCACGCTCAAGGTTGCCACCACTTAGCCAATTTGCCCTCCCGCCTCTGAGTAAACCCCATGGCCGTTGTGCGATTCGACTGGTCAATTGCCCGGCCTTGGTGGCGAGGCACCTGCCCAGTGCAACCAAATTCCTTGAGACCGCTTTCATGACAAATATGATCATTACATCGCACAAACTTGCAACCCCAATTTCGCACACACCCACACAGACACAAACACACATACACACATGCACACACTGCCTTCATCCGTGTGTGCAGCTTGGGCGGGCACCTGTCAGCACGCCCAATCGCTACACCGTTTTGGGTCCACGGCGTGCGCCGCAACATGCCAATGAGCACGGTGGCTTCCAACGATGACAGTCGCTGATCATTGTCATGTGCGACTCGCTCTTCCCTGGCTTCGCACCCATGGGTCCCGCAAAAACGAATCAACATGCTTCTGACTGATGCGTTCCCCTGAACAACCAGGGTGGTCAGAACATTTCTGGGAAGCGCTAGACAACGTTGGCCTTTGCGGGAAAATGTCCATGCGGCTGCGCAACTGCGACGAGCTGGGTCGCACAAAACTTGTTTACATGGAAGGCAGGTCCAATGAATAACGCTGCGTGGAGCTCCAGGATTTGCCTTGGCCCGAGGGCCGAGACCAAATGGGTGTGTGACTGCGCGTGTGCGGTCTCAAGCGCGCTACCTTGTTGGGACTTCTTCATGGTTGTGGGAGCCGCAAGAAGCTGCAGCGTTCTTTCTCTCATCATGCAGACATGAACCTGTCTGGACTTGATTGAGCGTTCCTGGAGCACGTTTGGCGTATGTCTCTGGCCATTTCCTCATGCGTGGCTTACTAGCTGGTGCCCCCCCGTCTTAAGGCCTCCCCATTCTAGGTTTTGCAGCTAAAGTGAATGTATAGACACAAATAAAGGGCGTGGGAGCTTGTAAGCTCATAAAAAACAGTTGTGGCAACCAAGGTAAGTGCTAAGAAGAATAGCCGCAGTGGAAGGGGGAGGGGGGGCTGAACACGCCACAAAAGTGAGAAGCATTCCCCTGGAATGTTGCAGATTGGTTGCCCTGAGGCTCGCCCCAAAAAGCGGAACTTTGCAGATTTTCGCAGCATTTGGCAGCATGTTGTAGCTTTCTGCAGCATGTGCAGGAAATACTTGCAAGATGCTGAAAGCTCTAGGAAGAACCTGGAACGTGAAAATTCTGCAAACATTGGGACCGCGCGTTGGTTCTCAGAAGCCGCGCGAGCTTGCCGGTTTGTGGTGCTGTGGCTGTTTTGGATGAAGTAGCATCTCCACCTAAAAAACTGACCCGCGCCTCCTTTTGAGTCTAGGTTACTTGGCAGTGTGAGTGGCTGCTGCACCTGGGAGTTTGGGATCTGTAAGGCCAGTGGAGGCTTGTTGGAACTGCGTGTGCCTCACAGGCTCCGTCCCCGGATGAAGGCATCTCCATCAAACAGGAGCTGTGATTTCGGCAACAGCTCAGGCTGTTATTGATTCGGGGTAAACGCTGCCTTGGTTCTATTTTGGTTTGACTGAGTTTCTTTGCCTTCGCATCAGCACCGCACGCAGTCGGATTGACTTTTTGTGCCTGTGTGGTTGCAGCCTAGTTTAGCTGAGCGAATTTCTTAGGAGGGGTTGCTCGATGAAACGTATTTCCATACAAGCATATAGAAGCATTTGAGAGGTGGCCTGCCATGTGTTTCACGGGGCACGCTGCGGAGAGTAACCATTCGCCCCAGCCCCGGCACCTCTGGTGGCGCTGTGGTGCTGGACTTGGGTGCGCGGCCTGACGCGCAGCTGAAACATGCTCAGCGATGGGAACGCACTCGGGTTAATAAGAACTTTTTGTCATATGCACGCCTTGCAGCCACTTTGCGCAGCCAGAAAACAAAAAGGTTCATGCGTCTCCGTAGTTTGCAGGGTTGATTTGTAAATTCAGGGCACACGCGGACGGAGTGGAGGCTTCGCTTCAAACGATTCAGGAGTCTATTTGGCTGAAGTGTTATCCCTTGTTCGTCGTTTTACAGGGAGGGTCCCTCACTAGCAGATTTGACGGCGCGGTACGGGAAACAGCGCGCGCAGCCCCTGAAGAAAGGTTTCAAACAAACCCCAACAGATTTCCCGAAAAGCGCCCTGCTAACAACAATGGGAACTTCCAATTTGATGTCAGTATCATTTTCGCCAAGGGACATGTGGCAAAGTCGTTTTCATCCTACATTTACCCAGGAGCCCCTCCAGGTCAACATAGGAGGCAAAGGCTCGGAGGCAAAAGGCTCGCAAAAGGCCCGGCCTGCCACCGCTGCCCACGCCGCTACGACTTGCTGCCGTTCCTCTGGAGACAATGCTGCCACAGCCTTTACCATAGCTGCCAGCTGGGGGCCGCCTCAAGTCACCATGGACTTCACATGACTTCACCATGGCAAGGAAAGTTGTCAATGCGCAACGAAGCGAGGGGACTCGAACAAACCAAGTATCTCTCCCTTGACAAGTGTTGAGCCCATGTTCATCCTCTGCAAAACTTTCGCATAAGCATTGCTGTGGCATTCCTACAGGAAGTGATACGTCTCGCCACCCCTCAGCAGAAAGCTGCCAAATCCTGGAACGGCAGCACAATGCGTGCCGAGCTAGTTCAGCCACCCAGAAGTACCAGTAGTATCCATTGTGATGGTACGTTCTTACTCAGTGGCAAAGCCTTGCAGGCTCGCCTGAACCTGTACCGCGAAGGTGCAAACATGAGAATAAGTTAATGAATGCAAACAACTGCTCAAGTCAAATGCGCCCATGTCGGGAAACACGTGCTTTCCAACAATCCACAGGGCGTCAAACACGATGGTGGCGATGAAGTCTAATTCCTTCCGCCTAACACAGTAGCAAAGGGCCCGCTAGAATCATTAACTGTTTCCAAACAAATCCAAAGCTCCAGTGCTTCGCGTAGAATGTACCAGTTCTACATGAGCCGCATTAGGGGCTCTTAGAACCAATGCTCATTCCTAAACCAACACTAAACCCATACTCGACTGATTTCTGCTGTTCCAATTCCTTCCTTGGAAATTGCCGGTTTGACTCAGGGTTTTGCTTGCCGCCTTCTCAGGGCCTCATCTGGATGGACGCCGAGATTGAGGGACCGAAAAGGACCGAAACGGAACTCGGTGTTATCAGTATGTCTACAACATAGATTGGCCCCGGATTTTTGAAGGTGGGCTCTCTTTTGATATTAGGGGACCGGATTGCCGGTGGCCGACTTGAAAATTCTCTGCCCTATGACGTTTCCGGCCAACAAATCCAGCCGATTCTGGATGCTGAGTTGCTAAGGCCAGCAGACTTGGCATCCTCCACACTCTGCTCAAGCGCAGTGCGCCCTGGCATGGCCTGCCAAGCTTTGGAAGGCGACCTGTTGATACTTGGGCGTCCAGAACTTCAATTTGCAACACTTGTTTGTTTGTAAAATTCCGCACGCACACACGCGCACGTGCAAGAACCTTTGCTGGTGGCAAATAGAATCGCACTGGCAATCTTAATTCTGAGCCAATCGGCAAACATCCGGAGTCGTCTTCACCACTCACCACTGGTCGTGTCACATGAGTCGGGTTTCTTGGGTGCTTACCGGCATGAACAGGAAGCATCCCACCACGCTATGTCCACAACACGTCTTGCCTCCTGAGTCTCTCCCTTGGCGCTGCGCAGTGCCCATGAGGCATAGGTCGCTTCCTCTGTGTCCTGGAGGCCTGTGCGAATGCGCGCCCACAAGCAGCTGTGCGCACTTGATCACAGGCGCAGCGAGCAGTGTTTTGCCAACATGCTCCACCCTTTGATCTGACCGCGCCTGCATTCTCCAGCGCCTTTACCACGGCGGCCACCTTCTCAGTGGATGAATTGCCTCAACCGCCGTGTCTGCGAAACATCGCCTGTGTGCCCGGTCCTGAATCAAATGCCAGCACAACCCACCATCCCACAGACAGACTCACAGACACGTAGTACCTAGACAGACACACAGAGAGACACATACAAACGACAGACAGAGACACACGGGAACACGCAAACACACGCACAGACAGCGAGAGAGAGAGAGAGAGAGACACGCACAAACACACAAGGACACAAGCACGCAAGCACGCAAGCACACCAACACACAAGCACACAAACACACAAGCACACCAACCCATCAACCCACCAACCCACCAACCCACCAACCCATCAACCCACCAACACACCAACCCACCAACCCACCAACCCAACAACCCGCCAACCCACCAACCCACCAAAACACCCACCCACCCACCCACCCACCCACCCACCCACCCACCCACCCACCCACCCACCCACCCACCCACCCACCCACCCACCCACCCACCCACCCACCCACCCACCCACCCACCCACCCACCCACCCACCCACCCACCCACCCACCCACCCACCCACCCACCCACCCACCCACCCACCCACCCACCCACCACCCACCCACCCACCCACCCACCCACCCACCCACCCACCCACCCACCCACCCACCCACCCACCCACCCACCCACCCACCCACCCACCCACCCACCCACCCCACCCACCCACCCACCCACCCACCACCCACCCACCCACCCACCCACCCACCCACCCACCCACCCACCCACCCACCCACCCACCCACCCACCCACCCACCCACCCACCCACCCACCCACCCACCCACCCACCACCACCAAACCACCAAAACACCAAAACACCAAAACACCAAAACACCAAAACACCAAAACACCCAAACACCCAAACACCCACACACCCAAACACCCACCCACCCACCCACCCACCCACCAAACCACCAAACCACCAAACCACCAAAACACCAAAACACCAAAACACCAAAACACCAAAACACCCAAACACCCAAACACCCAAACACCCAAACACCCAAACACCCACCCACCCACCCACCCACCCACCCACCCACCCACCAACCAACCAACCAACCAACCAACCAACCAACCAACTGAGAGACACACACGCACCACACATCCTTTTGTCACCGCTTGCGTTCGGTGCAAACCAGCCGTTAGCCAATGCTCAAATTATCTCAAAATCTTGGCACGTGCAGCGTCCAAAAGGCACCAATGCAATGGGAAGCATCTGCTTTCTCTTACCTTTGCACCCGATGGGTTCTGAGCCAAACTGAACAACTGAAAGGCCCCGATCCGTGCTCTTGGGACTCCACCTCGCTGCCGCCCCACCAAGGCATCGAGGCTGTGCTTGGCCACGCCGCGCTGCTGGGGCGTCATTCCCTGCCGCTGAAACTTGGCAAACAGACTGAACCGGGTCACCCCAATTTCCAAAAACATGCCAGGAAGCCTTGGGCAAAAGCTAACGCCTGCCACATCCAAGCACTAACGAGTCTACTGCTGACGCGTCCTTCCGGCCAGAAGTGCTTCTCCAATTCGACTCTATCAGCATGAGGATGCATTGCGAGGTCGATCTGCTGGCAATCTCGTGAATCCAACGTTTGCACCTATTACATGTAATATTCATCTATACGGGCTAGTGCTGCCCTGGTCAGCGAATTGTTTGCATAGCGTTGCACATTATGACACACGCACTCTGGCAACCATATGCGTCTACATACACCTATAGTACAACATATATATATATAGTTGTGATATTGGCTACTGATTCCAGCATGGCCAGTTTCGGAACCCTAGCCAAACAACACAACCTCATTATCACAGTGCATTGCGCGCAGTCTCGCCTGCCACTGCACTTTGAAGCGTGCCACCTCGTGGTCCGAGAAGCCGGCACTGCGAGCTGCCCGACTGAGTGCCAGTAGGTCTCCTCCACAAGAAGCATTTTTTTCACTCCCTATTCCCCTCCCCCTACTCCACCCAGAGCCAAAACAAAAATAAATAAGGAGCAGAGTTCGGACTGTGGTGAGTTTGCATGTAGCATCAAGATGGATGCTCCATCAAACAACTGGTTGTCTTGGCCCACAACTCAGCAGCATGCACATGAAGCGCTGACTCCAACATGTTGGCAAAGCTGGCACCCGAACTGCAAACTCCAGCTTGTTGTTTCTAGATCAAGGTGGCTGATCGCACATCCAGCCGATAATGTCGGGAGCTATCTGGCCAATTTCTAGAGGGCTAAACCAGACTCAAGCAGGAAGGCATCATCAATTTTAAGCCGCTGGAATGTGACAGCCTAACTGTGCCATCATTGGCATCATGATCCACTCTTGGCACACCCCACTTGTTTGGATTTTTTTAGGCTTCTTGAAATTGACACCCCTTTTGCAAAGTATGCTTCTACCGAAGGGTCAGGCGGCATTGACGCCGCACCGAGGATAGAATGCTTGTGGGCATGGATGCCTCCGGGGCCGAGGCATTGGGGTCGTTTCGAATGCCAGGACTGGGCGCCCACTATCGGTACACATGCATTCACTTGACCGTCTCAAAGAGATGGACGGCACAAGCCGCGGCCAAAAGAAGACGTTCTCTGAATGACAAAAAAAGATCAAAAAAGCCAAGCAGCAAAGCGGCCGAAGCCCCAGGTGCGGCCAAGACTCTCTGCAAGTTCGGGTCCATGCCCTCAGTGCCGTTGAAGAGGTACCCAGGCTTTTCAGCAACTGTTGCAGCTTCAGCTACTGCTTCGACGATGGCCCGCTTCTCCTGCGCCCAAGATTGGTTGCTTCAACTTGCAGCTTTCTGCTTTGGGCAGCGTTCTTGCAGCATGATCACTCGCTCATCTATCGATTCTCCAACGTTCTTAATGCTTTCAGCGGGAATTCAAACTTGTTCTGACCGCCTGCACTTTGGGTAAGGACAAGCTTCCAGTGGCCCTCGAATGATATGCCCTTCCGATTTAGCTTTATCCAGCGCAAGGCGCGTATCGGTTCGCTTCAAACTTCCAAGGCAGCCCTGCAAGTCCCTGCAAATCGATTCTAAATCAAATTGAGCGATGTGGTGAAGCTCTTCCATGAATGATTGTTCTGGAAACAACACGTTCTCGGTCGAAGCAACTTGTGCTTTCAGGCATGTGCAAAACAAAAGCACATTCTAGGTTCCAGAAGGCGTCTTGACACATATCGCAAAGAGCTGTATCGAAACCGTGTGGAGTGATCTTCCACGGGAAGAAGCATTCCAATCAAACTGACTTGAACAAACCTATTGCATGGAGCCATGCAGCCGCTAGATGGGCAGAAACATGTCCCACAATAATGAAAAGTCTACAAAGTCCAGTCCAGCTTGGATGCTTATCCGGAACAACGACAATAATCACGTTTCTAGCATCTAGGCTCTAACATACTGTAGTGACAAACAACATGGTCGAAAGTCAGGCCAAAGCGTCGTCTTCAGACTGTAGCGAAGAGGTGCAAAGGCTGGCTTTCCAAAAGAGAATGGCCGACTGGCTGTTCTTAGCTAAATCCCGAATACCTTTCCGCCCCTCCCTGAACTGATAGCCCAAGGTTGGGGGAAGCACCATGGCCCAGCCCAAGGCAACATATGCAACCCGGCTTGTCATTCCGCTTAACACACAACGCTGAAACCAATGCTAGCAATCAAGGCCCAGCAGCCAGCCCTTTGACACCCCAGGCCCCAGACTTGACGCCTGCTCTGGAATGGAGGAATCGTAGATCGCGTCGCGCACAACGCCGGCAACCTGGGCTCCAGCAATCAGACTATCAGACCGCTTTGCTCTTGTGTATGGGGGGTACGTGCAAACAATGTATAGCTGTATAACAATGTCACAAGCTAGAATTGTCCGCGTAGAGGGCAATCGCAAGAAACATCCTACAGATTGGTTTCTCACCCTGCTTCCCCACCTTTTGACCCCAGCCAGGCCTCATGGCATGCAACTCGCGCCGATGAAATTGCATGACACTCAGCGATTAGCGGAGTGTGCCAATGCCTTGAAGCCATTTCATGCGCCAATTTCAGCCACAAGGCTCTTTCAGCCTCTGATCCGAAGGCACGCTCGCCTGAGCATTTGAGCATGCTTGCTGCAAGCCTGTCCACAGAGGCAAGTCACACCAATGGCAATGGCGTACTGCAAGGCCAAGATGCCAGAAGACCACATGGGTTGAGACGCGCTCTCTCTCGCAGCTCGAAACCTGATACAGGGCACAGAAATCCGAACAGGACGACTTTGGATCCACAACTAGGCGCTTTTCAGGTGTCCACACTCCTATGCCTTTGACGCTTCTTAAACATGCAAAAGCTCAGGTCCCGGCATATCTGCAATGACCAGCTGTGAACGAGGACTTTCATCCCCTGCCATTGGGATTGTTTTCGAAATAACGCTCCGCAGTATGCAGGACACCCCAAAGAAAACCACTTTTTGTGGACCGATATGATATGAGGTCCCCCCCCCCGGCTGGCTTTGTCTGTGAATACTTCCGAAGAGAGCCTCCCTGCAGTCTTGAACATGGTCATGCTTACTTCAGCACGTTACAATGTTGGCGAACGAATCTATGTTCTTTCCATCAGCACAAGCATGGTGACTTCAAGCTGATCAACTTGAACGTCTTATACATGAGCCGCGCCAAATTGGAGTATCTCTAAACCCTTCGTTTTAAAGACTTGCCTTCGTTTTGTGGAGGCTTTCTGTCATGAAATGGTCTCTTCCCGTAGTCTTCCCGTGATCTCCCCTGAGCTTCCCATAGTCTTCGGGCAGTCTTCCCATATTCCGGTCTCTCATCTGTCGTAACTCCAAAGAGCCAAAGTTCATGAAAAGAGGATTCGTGTTGGGCTTTGTCTGGCCTTCTTTTCAAGTTCTGTTCGGCCCATGGTGGAAATAGGGTCCTGGGGCCAGAGAAAAGTGCTCCGAAGTGACAAAGCAGTCATAGAAATAGACCACAGAAACCTGGAGTCTCCATGACCCTTTCAAAATGGGGCTCATTCCCCAAAATTAAGGGGTCGGAGGATGAGGCTTTCTTTCCGCAACCCTGCAACAGCTGCTAAATGCACAATGAGAATCCTTTGAGTTCAAGACTCGTCGTTTTTTTTGGGGCGGGGTTTGACCCCATGCCTCTCCTCGTACCAATCGTTTTGGTGGTAGCTCAAGTCTTGAAGCATCGACTGCTCAAGAAACACGAACCCTTGCTTTGGGCACGTCCCGGTAAAGGCAACATGTAGCTCCTTCGAGGGCTTTAGAACACTTTTTGCAGGATGCACGCCATTCCAGGATATCCCAGGCGCGCAAGCAAGCTCGGCAACTCCACCCATCATATCTGCCCCAAACAGACTTAGGGCCAGGTCCGTAACAAGGAGATGCGCATGTGGCTGGGGATGCTCCTGATCAAAGGTGCTGATACCCACCTTGAACAGCCAAAAGCCAACGGGGCCCTTTCAATGTCTGCTACCAGACGCACCCCATCAGATCATCAATTCCAACGGGCACAGGGTCTAAATTTCTAAAACCCCGCTGAGTAAAAACAAACGACGATCTCTGCATCCCATCTGAGGCCTGCGGCGGCAACCACCGCCGCCATGGCCTCTGGGCCCCAAGGCATGGTAGCCTCTGCCAAGCCCTGTAGGGGCAGTGTGGTCGTGGCACCTGCGGTACTCATCACCAAGTCTCGCAAATATTTGCAAATGGAGCTTCGTAGTCAAACTCCAAAAATACGAGTTCCCCAAACGCTTGGCATGCGCTTACAAGTGGCATTGCAGCCATCCTACTCTGCTGTCCTTGGCATCTCGTAGCTGTCTTTGTGTGACTCAGCAACTAGTGATCGAACATAGTTGCGGACAAGTGCAACTCTATGAGCGCTCGCCATGCCCAGCATCTGCTAAAGCTTCTTAAAGCCTTGCTTTTTGGATGGCCATCGCCCGAAGCTAAGTTTTTCGGACAGGCGGGATTGGTTTCGAACAGTTTGAACAAGTAGTGGCTAGGTGCCGTGCCCTCCGTCAACTTCTGAGCTGCAGCAGCTGCAGCATCTGCGACCTTTGCCGCATTAGCGAAGTTACTCCGCTCGAAGGGCGAGAGCTCCTTTTATGTTTTTTCGATGTGCCTTTCACGACCTCCAGCGGTTCTTTGGAGGGGACATCCCCTGAGATGGGCTGCATGTCGTGTTGGGGAATTCTTTGGTGGAAGTCCAAGGCAACATCGGGGAAAGGAAAATACGTCTGTGTGGTTCCTGATCTTTGGCCGGCCGGGGCGGGATGGCATCTGCGATGGGGAATTAAAACAGGAACACAGCGCACAACACGGCAAGCAGCACAGTCTACACCGAGCACCCAAGTCCAGCCTGTTCCCAGGTGAAGTTGGCGTTGGCAGTTGCTGACACGACCTCTGCCACCTGGATTGTGAGGACAAGGCCGGACAAGGCCTATCGCCAAGGTTCCAAAAAGACTGCATCGCAACCTTGCAAAGCGCATTCCCGTTGCCAACACTACGCGTGCAAGCTGCGACCTCGAAAACCCCTCACCATGCCTGGCTTGTGCATTGGGGCAATCAATTGAAGTTCACTACCAGTAGGACACTGTAAGTTCACAACAAGCACCTCTTGCCCCCGTGCATGCGCGAAACAACCGTGCCAGTCAACCCATGCGAGGGAAATCTGAGTTAGAAGCATGGACTGCTCCTCCCAGAATTCATGCTCAAACATGAAGTGCACCGGGGAGTACATACAGCCGCGAACAAACTTCAATTTTCGACGGCGCACCCTGCGCAACATGGGCGCTGATTGGTCACCGCTTGGGCCATGCCAGAATCATTCAGTGTCTGGAGGCCAGAGGGGGAAAAAAAAACGGTCACAATTTCCCCCGGCTGTAGTAGGGTCTTCCTTCAGGCAGCCTGCAAAAAGCAGCTCCCAAGTTGACTGCATGCGGCGCTCAGTAGCTGCCTTCTCCGCTGTGGAATGCTGCTGTGGAGCCGCGGTGGCTTTCAGGACTTGCAGGAGGCGAGCGTAGATTCTGGCAAGGAACGAGCAACAAGCCTCGGCCCAAACCAAACCTTCCTAATCCCAGCCTGGTTACCTGCCCAAATTCGGCAGGCTTTGAATGCGAAACTAAGCAAAGCATAGCAACCCCTTTTCGAAAAGCCCAAGTCACGCAAGCCATGATCGTGGGCACCAAGCATGATGTGATCTGGAGATCCAATACCACCACAACTAAACACACCACAGCTATGTACCACTGCATAACCCGGGTATATTACGCAGGTACGAGGGCATGGCTGTACGTACCCACAGCCCCTAGGGGGTTGCCAGCACACCCTAATCCGTAGCGAAAAAAAGGGTTTGGGAGTTTAGGGTGTAGGTGTAGGGTTTAGGCTTCGGTTTAGGGTTTAGGGTTGAGGTTTAGGGTGCAGGTTTAGGGTGTAGGCTTAGGGTTCAGGTTTAGGTTGGGTGTAGGCGTTTAAGGCTTAGGTTTAGGGTTCAGGCTTAGGGTGTAAGGGTCCAGGGTTTAAGTTTAGTTCAGGCTTGGGTTGAGGTTGAGGTTTATGCGGATCTATTTTTGGATTTTCCGGATTTTCTTTTTTTCCGCTTTTCGTCTGGGCCAGTAAAATGTCGTATTCTACAGCACTTTCTTGCGAAATTGCTGCATTTTACACTAGCCCGTCAACATCCCCAGCATCGTTTTCAATATCCGCCGCATGTCCGACCAACATCCCTAGCCTCACCAACAAATCGTGGGTAACAAAATGCAAAAAGTAGCTGGCGGGTTGACGGCTTGAAAACGAACCCTGTAAGAAAAACTAAAAAGTAGCGGGTGGTTGGGGGGGGGGGGGGCGGCGGCCCCCGCCATGATGTTCGCCAGAAGTGATGAATCGAACAGGGGTGCAATTAAATCTCTGCAAAAAGTCTAAGAAGTACCGGGGGCGTTGGTTGGGGGGGAGGCAGGCTCCCCATGATGTTCGAAGAAGTGATGGTTCAAGTAGGGGTACAGTGATTCAAGAAAATGTGCGATAGAATTTAAAAGGCAGCGGGAGGGTTGGCGGGGGTGGCTCCCCCTATCATGTTCGAAGAAGTGCATACATACAGACATACATGGATTACATAGATTGCCTGACATGTAGTATTTTACAGCACTTTCTCGCAAGATTGGATGCTCGAAAAAGTGATGGTTCAAATAGGGGTGCAATTGAATCTCTGCAAGAAATCTAGAAAGCGGCGGGAAAAATGGGGGGGAGGTGGCAGCCCCCCCCATGTGCTGATTCAAATAGGGGCGCAATTACTCTGCAACCAATCTAAAAAGTAGCAGGTGGGTTGGGGGGGAAGCCCCCCCATGATGTTCGAACAAGTGATGGTTCAAATAGGGAGGAACCGGGAGGAACTGGTGATGCTGATGATGCGGGAAGCCAAATCCAACAACCAATGAAAGGGTGCAAAAGCACAAAAAGCCCGAAGAGGAGCTGGGAATGCAGAGGATGCGAAAAGCCGATGCCAAAAAGCCACCAAAAGCCGCATAAACCGACAAGAAGCCGAAAAGCCAAGAAGCCGAGAAGCCAAAAAGCCAAAAGCGAAACAAATCCCAGAAAAAACGAAAAAAAAAAAAAAAAAAAAAAAAAAAAAAAATAAAAAAATACCCCTCTTAGGGTTTAGGCTTGGGTTTGGGGTCTAGGTTTAGGGTTTGAGGTTTAGGTGGTTTAGGTTAGGTATAGGGCTCAGGTTTAGGGTGTAGGTTTTGGATCTAGGTCAGTTGCTCCAAGAAGGATCGGCTAGCTTTGTCCGAACAGCGCAAGCAGCAGCCACCGTCTCTGCATTTCGACGAGCCGAGCTGCGCTTGCCTGTGTGAGCCTAGTTCGAGCACGTTGTGACGAAGACGGCAGGTGCTTCAGGCGGCTTAGGTTTCGGGCGTCGGGGCGCTATTTTGGGGCGCAGGCAACCCTCAGGGGCTGACCGCATATAGCTATGGATGCGATGGGCAACATTGAAGTTTAGACTCTCCAGGTTCAACTCGCCCCACCCTTCAATAGCGTCAGCAGGGCTTGTGATCCAAGGAGGCCATCGCAACGCTAAGCCGCTCCACCTGACGGATGATTGTACACTGGCCTGCCTATGTCCTTGGCACAAAGCGGGCAGGTCCACAAAGGGTATCTCCAAAAACGAAGCTTGTCTATGCCTTCCTACAGCACAGTATGGCACGCATCTGATGAATTCTGGGCCCTGGGGGGAGCAGTGCAGAAGGGGCTCCCCACCTGGACCTTGGACAAGTGGAGGCCCCTTGCAGCCGACAGGACGGACTCGTGCAACGTCCCGCTCGGCACCTGCACTGCAAGCCAGGAGCCTGACTTGGAAGTATCTCACTCAAACAAAAACACAGCACCAAAGCAAACACACCATATCCAAATCGGGTCACATCAGTACATCAGTGGCGACTCATGGCACAAGAATCCAAATGCCAAGCGGCGCTTCTTGACAGTCTCATATACAAACCGGGAGGATTGAATTCAATCGATATCACCACTTCTCACTGGCTGTTCCAGTGAACTAAGTACGGGTGGCTGAAATAAGCATGTTTCTGTGGGTGCCGCAATCTAGTGCAGTGAGCTAGAACGGAAGGAGTGTCTAGCTGTGTGCCCGTCATTCACGCAGTTCGAGTTGAGTCCGACATGATGACAGCGACAATCAAATGCTAAGATTTCAGCCCCCACACTGTTCATGGAGCAAGTGCAAACATTGGCATCCGGTCTTTGGCAAGTCTCAGTCTGTCCAATCAGGTGATAGTCACCAAAATGCTGTTTTCCAATTTCACCTCCCGTTGTTAATACCACAGCCAATCAGAGCTTATGCTAGATATAAGACAAGCGTTGAACACCTAGGACCTAGTTTGGTTTTGGGGGGAAGGCAGGTATTTTGGTTTAACTGCCAAATAGTAGAAACGCAGAAGTCGGAATATGAGAAGCAAAGTTGGAAACTAAGAAGCGTGGCAAAGTACCTACGGAGACGCCGAATGAACTGTTCAAATGTTGGGTCTTCAGATTTGTCCTCTCTTTTCGGCTTTTCATGATTTGTTGGCTTTGCCTGTCACTGTTCAACTTTTCAACATTTTGACTGGTTGCTTTTGAACCTCTGCTTTTGTAACTTGCTTTAGGCACCTATTCGCGCTGGTTTGACGTCTTTTGGCTGTGGCTCAAACATGCACCAAAATGAGACCGTGGTAAACAAAACCTGCCTAACCCTAGCTGTTGAAGTTGAGCCTCACCCATTTGAGCCATGTCCTAAACGTGTCATGATTTGCTATGTCGTATCATTCTGCTTACGCCACCAGCTTACGCCACCTTACGCGTGGAGTTTTTGCTTACGCGACACATTTGGAGGTCTTGCTTACGCCACCAGCTTACGCCACCTTACACGGGTGGAGTTTTTCCTTACGCGCTCCGCGCTGGTCGATATGACATGACTCTTACTAAACATGTACACGAAGGTTTGGGACGCCGCTCAGCCTTCATGCCTGCTACTTGGCCACCCCTGAATGTTGCGATCATCTGTTGGATTGGCCATGGTTTGAATTATTGATGATACATTACTCTGAGTGCCAACAAGTGACTGCAAGTTTTGGGAGCACCCGCCTCATTCTCTTCCGTCACCATGGCCTTGCTTGCTGCTGTGATGACTTCCGCAGTCTTTTCCTGGCCAAGGTGCCTGACCGGCGGGCTAAGCAAATGAAGGAAACCTTTTTGCTCACATGTTCACACTGCAACGACAAACATGCTAGTCTGCCAAACGCCCAGCAATCAGCCAAAACTGCGAACAGCCCAAGAAATCCCAAGAAAGCGATTTTAGAATCATCAGTTGTGGGGAGCACACATACGACACATATCACAACATGTCGCAACGTCTCACAGTCAAAACAGCTATTGCTATCTGAGCGGCAACTCCTTCGCTGTCTGCTCCAACTCTTGCTCTACGGGGTTGTCCACCAATGAGCTGGCCACGTGCCAAAACTTTCCGAACTGCAAATGAAAAGGCTGTCGGCAGAATGTTTTGTATTTCAACAATACCACGGTACTACATGCACTATACCTGTTCAGTTCAATGCTCTTGGTTGCAGTCTACGGGCCATACAATCAGGAGAAGAGCCAATGAGATTGTGGCAAGCAATGCCGGAGGGTCTCACCTGTTTGCAACGATCCGCCAAACGCACCACTGATAGCTTGCCGCGCCAACGCAACAAAGAAACCAACAACACAAAAGGCAAGTCCCCACCAAAGCGTGTCGTGTTCGACTTTCGCCAGCTTCACTTTTACAGCCCTCCACCAACCGCAAACTAATCAGGGTCTTCCCGGGCCCCTTGGCAGACACAAAGAAGCTTATCACATGCAGGCACCGCACAATGCCACCATGCCGCCGTGAAGCCCGTGGCCTCTGCGCCCCAAGCTCCTGGGCACGCTATCATTGAAGTCTTGCTTGACGGTTTCCTCGAACAGCACGCCAATTCTAGAAGCTGGCCAAATTGAATGTTCGCGTGAATATGTTTCTATCCCCATGCCGCTCCCCTCCGCCAAATCATTGGGACCAAGTTGGAAAACATTGGCTGCCCTCTGTCCTGACGCAGCAAAGGCTTTCTGATGGCGTCAGCATCCTACAAACAGGGATGGGGGCACAAACGCAAAAACTCAGCAAGCAACGTGAAACGCAGGTGCAGTAAAAAGAGGATGGACGGTAGCTGCCCAAATTCTGATAACACAACCAAACCAGCGTTCGCAAGCATAAACAATATAAAACCGCACAAACTGCCTAACCTCTCCACAAACACGGCATTTCCAAATATCGGCCTTTGGCGACGGAGCGGCGCAGGCTAGCACTGAGCAGCATAGCGAAAAGGCAATCCTGCGCGGCCCGAATGAACTGCATGCCCAGTGAGCCTCCCAAAATGTTGACTTACTCAGCGACGTGCCGGCACTTCCATGACTGCATGCTTGTCGGCGCCTCGTTAACATCAACATCCGGCCATTGCCATCGAACACACTACAGTGGATAGCCTGCACATAGTGGGCACGAAGCCCTGGGCCAAGCCACGGAGCGATCCACGCACCACATGGGTGGCTGTCAGTCGCACATCTCGCAGCGCGGCGGACAACCCATCCTATTCTGTGGCAGGAAGCCCTATTCTGTGGCAGGAAGCCAGCGCAGGACACATCATCGCCTGCGCTCTTTACGAACAAATTTGGCATCACGCTCCAATGCTGCCCCCTTCCCCCTCCCCTGTTGGCGCCATCTTTTTTCCATGCAGCCACCCCTGCAGCACGATCCTAAGGAAAGGGGTCTGTACTCGTCAGCGATGCATCTAAGCCGACAAATGCGCCAATTATTTCCCAGCCATTCAAAAAAATGCATGACCAACCTCTTTTGCCCCAAGGACCCAGAAATAAAAGGTTAACCTTTTGGAACCTTGACTAAAATACCGAAAGGGAACCAAGCATGAAATTAAGAAAGCCTTAAGTTTTATCACTTGACTAGTTCTGAGGAAAAACAACACGCCCGGAGATTTCATAGGAATCCATCCCAGCAACTGGCGCGATCAGAATGAGTTGGCAAGATACCCCGCGAGTGGCGGCAAATGCGGCGGTCATAGAGCGCACGAGCCAGTCCTAAAATGGACAACCAAATGCCTGGTGCACAACAAATAGCTAAAATGCTACGTTTTCCCACTTACGCTTTATTAACCAAAAAATCCAATGAACCAGTCTGTGTCGAAGGGATGCTCGATGACTATGATGACTGAAAGCGGATAGATTGTGGTCGAAAACTTCAATCTAGCAGCACAAAGCGAATAAACAACAACAAAACAAAGGAGATCCCCAAAACAGGAAAACTTGACGGAACAAACCGACTCTGCAATGAGCTTCAATTCGAGCAATTACAAGCCTGTGCTCGACGATCTGAGTTTCCCATGTGGCGCCCAAGCGCCTGGATGTGTGTTGCGAGTTGCGATGCTTGATTGCCCTGCCAAACAGTTGGCCGCAGTGAAAGTAGATGGCAGAGTTCACAGGTGCCATCTACTTTCACCCACCTGTATGGCATAGCTGCAACGGCTGCTTCAGGGCGGGAATCGTTTCGCGTCAGTGTTGCTTGAGACTGCTTCAGCTGTGGATTTCGCATGGCACGTACGTATTGCACGTGCTGAGCGCTGGCTGCAGGCATTTGCGTCGGAAATGCGTCAGACGTGTTGGGAGGAAACGTCAATTGAGCTCAGTGGCTTTTGGCTGTGTGGGTCCTTATCATTTTCTTGCCGACGTCACGCCTACGCGAAACGCAAGTCCCACAAAAACGCCTACGAGAGACTGAGCTGACTACATGCCTCCTGCCATCCTCCTGCCTACACCGCCTGGGCGACGACGAGGAGCTCAACGCGCTTTTAACTTTTTACACTCGGCTACGCAGAGGTTCGCTGCGACCGCGCTTGGATGGGAGCACGGTGGAAGGTCACTAACAACAAGAGCTTGAAGTCGCCTCCGGTAGGGCTGCAGTGTTGTCTGACCAAGTCTTTGCCTTGATGGCAACCATACTGGAGGAACGGGGTGGACGAAACGCATGCGCGAACGCGGCGCCTACACAAAATCCGGCCCTCTTGCTGGAATTTCGGGAGATGCTTTCACCTTTTCGACTAGCCAACGGGCCTACTAGCAGCCACGCCGCAGTATGGGTTGCCGGACAATCGGAAAGCTGCTACCCACAGCTTGCGCCAAACTGCTACTCACAAACGGTCACACAACCATGTCTTGCATGGGAACAATGCTCAACATGACGCGTGACAGTTCAAGCTCGTAAGCGGCCGCCTACGCGATTGCCTACGCGAAGCTTTCGCAACACGAGCCTCCGCGACATGCCTACGCACATCTGCCTACGCGACATGTAACAAATGTGGCGGCGAAGATGTGGGACTTCCCCCCCCCAAAAAAAAAAAAAAAACACGCTCAGTTCAACCTTTGGAAAGTTTGACTGTTCAACTCGACATCATGATGGCCAAATAACAAGTCTCACTTGTGACCAAAATGAAGCCTAACACTACGCCTTGACTACATCCACACTAAACCATTCATCAGCCTCGCCAATTTCAATTGACTAACTGACTGCACCCTTTCCGGTATCGAACTGCCCGCGGCAAACACATGATTGATAGCGTCCCAGTGTCGCAACCACCCTGGTTCTCGTCGAACATGGGCACCTTCCGCCCGCCCGTTTCTCACCACAAAAAGCTTTCATCACAACAGTCTCTTGCACAAATGCAAATTGAAATTAACTTGGCTGTTTAAATTGAGATTGGCACTGCGTGTGTCTTGAGTTTAAACCTAGGACGTGCAAATCCAAGGTGAGATTGACCATACGGTACCATATGTTCACTGTGTTGGTATGGTGCAGACTTGAACTTTCAAATCGGGATGTGCAATGATTTCCGGTGACATGCGCATGTTAAGATTGACGTGCAAAAAATCATGGCCCAAAGGAAGCTTGGGGAAACTACAGTGCATCGTAAACAGGATCGGTTCTGACTGTGTGTTTGCCCTATAGGTGGACCTTCGGCATGTGGCGGGGAGCCATCCTCTGCGCTTTCTGAAATGCCAAGCCACCAATGACATGTGTCATGTTACAAAAAGAGTACAAACCCCGAGAACCGACATCCCCAGGAACAAGGAATGCCGAGCAGCAAGCATGCACAAATCCCTGGTCGAATTTGTCAACTAAGCTGCTTAACGGCACCTTGCCGATCACACCATTCGGGTGATGGGATGGGCTGCCAAAATGCTTTCAGCCCAAGTGTTCATAAAAATGGATCACGATGAATTAGGCCTAGTTCGGCTACACAAACTGATCGGAGACCGCGCTGCGCTTGGTGTACTGCCATCTGCCCTGCGTGGCCATCTCAAGCGCGAGCTGTTGGTCACTGCAATCTGGTTCTTGGCCAGCCGGGGTGTGCTTACATTGCATCTCTCCAAGGCGTCGATTGTACAAACTTAGATGAGCGAGGAGACGCAACACAATCCGCCCGCCCACCACATGTGGAAAGGAGCCTTCCTCACAACAAAGCGACTCATACAACAAGTACTCAGGTTCCCCTTTGCCTGCAGGCTGCAATTTACATATTTATGTGTAAGAGTCTATAGGGTTCAGCTCTGCATGGGGCATTCCTGCCAGCCTCTCGAAGGGCGGAACTGAAATGGATGTGAGCCCAAAGGGTGACACGAAAGCAATTCAGCGATCAGCCACAAACGAGCTTTGTTGTGGCTTCGAGGGGAAAGCCTCAGCAGGCATTGAGATGTAACATGTTGTAGCTACCACCTATACTGGCAAATCTCGCAGACACCTAATACTGACATGTCTAACGTCAGAGTTTCCCAGAACATGCCAAAAGGCGCAGGACTAACAAAACTGTCTGCTCCGCCGCGGCACGCTGAGAAGTCCCAAGACACCATCGGACGGTCCTTCTCCGGCAGGCCAACCAAGCCCTTTTCCCGCAGATTTTGCCTGGGGTGCTGGTTGAAGGGACCGTGGTGCCTCTGGACGACCCACACCTCGTCGACGACCTCAGGAGAGCGGCCCTGTCTCATGGGCCATGGGCTTTTCATCTAGATAGAATTCGGTAGCGGAAATTAGGTGTTCCGATTGTGATGTGAATACAGAGGAGAATCGCATGCAGGCTTGCCCCCCCGTGCCCTCCCAGCATTGCATGCAGGTAACACTACAAACGTTCAACAAATTGCAAAGGCCCGCAAGCAAGCCTACGTCGCTGTCAAGGCTGCCTATGCGAGCACAACTCATCTTGCAGGTGCCTACTGCACGGACGTCTTTTGCCCGCAAATGTTCGGTTTAAGTACACTACATGAAGTGCACCTTGGCAGATCCAGTGCAAGTGAGCACCCCACATCTGTCCAAGGAAAAAACTGCATACTCAAAATGTCTTGAACGCCTACGCGAATGCCTACGCGCGGCCTACTCGGAGCCTCTGTAGAACAAATAGAAGGAAGGCAAAAGAAGCAAAGTCCTGTCTACTTGGCAAACAGCATCGAACCATGCGTCGTTTTAAAAAATGCCTACACGAGAAGCCTACGCGAGGGGTGACGCACTAGCCTACCCGAAACTACGCCCTCAACCAAGATTGCCTCCGCAAAGTCATGCACCTCCATTTTGTATGAACCCTTGCATTTGATGAAAAATCGCTGCTCATGTGGCCGAGGATTAGTGACGAGAATTAGCGGACTCTACTTGTACAGAATGTGTTCGCATCCAATCCAGAAACAATGACTGAGGAGCGGTGGAGTGTGCATAGCTTGCAAGCAAAATGCTGGTTGTTGTGGTATTTCAGCCGAGTCTCTTGCCCCCAAGTATCAGGAGGTGCTCCAGAATCTGTCTGCAGCTGCTGCCACAACAGATGGCTGGCGTTGTGGACAGTCATGCGGGACCAGCCATAGGTGTTCAAGCGCTTCCTTGGATCTGGCTGTGATGCCTGAATTTCCGCTGCCAGTGCAAGCCCAGCACCCTCGGCAATCAACCATCATTAATTACCCTGGCACTTCTAAAATCCATGCCAAAAGCCGCGGGAACAAACTATATGACAAACATTGCGGTACGTTAGGAGCAACAGAGTGCTACGGGGCAGGAGCCACACCAAGTATCGCACTCCGAGAAGGTGCTGGACGAGTAAATGGTTCGTGGTCCTTGACTGGGGGGGGATGGGTTGACAAATTCTGCGCATGAAGCCGAAGCCATTTTGCCTGACCCGTTTGATTGCATCTGTGTATAGTTGGAACATTGTGAGTCGGGAACCGGCTGCCTTCTGCCATCCCGTCCTCGACGTTCCCCGCGGAGCCGGTGATAATGTAGGTAGTGGCTGGGGGGTCCACGGTGCTTTGAGTGGTGACACCGCTCAGCCATGGGGTCGCTGGGTCGTATCTTGGCGAAACATCGAACATGCGCTCGTAGTCATGTTCATGGCCTCCAGGGGCGCGGGGGCTTGGCAGAAAACTGAGGGTAGGAACAAAGCAACCCCAAAGCATTGCCAAACAACTCGTGCAAAAAGCGTGCGCAAAATACTTCTGAACGACTCAAGCCTTCTGAGATTCTAATTCAAAACGTGGATTCAACAGTCCAAGAGCAGGAGCCTGAAATCATTTGTCGCAAGCGGTTGCCCATGTGACTCTCCCTTCATGAGCTACTGTCTGCGGAAAGTCAGGGTTCTGTACTTAACATGTTTGAGAGCATCCTTAAAGTGCAACGAAAAAAAAGGGGCGAACCTTCAAATTTGAATCTCCTCTGATCAGCCATCGCCTAGCTTCGTTTGTACAAAGGCAGCGTCGTCATGAATGCATCCAGCTAGACATAATAATGTCAAAATTAGTTGCCTAAGGGGGTCGAACAATACATATGTTGCGACGTTGGCCCACTTCCATCATCCTCTCCGGGCCAACTTCAAACCTTGCTCAAGCATGCAGCTACAGCTGGACGCTAGGCATCTCAGCCAGTTGGCCTATGAATACCTCCCATAACACTTGTTCTTCGAGTGCAGTGCCTCAACCACACCGCACCGACCTGCATGGCCGCCACAACAACTGCAACCAACACAATAGCAGTATTATCTCCCTTTCAAGCTCATGTTTGACAGCATGCTGAGTATCCTCCTCCCATGAATTGACCATGATCTCATTGCATGGCTGCCACTAACGCTGTCACAAGCATGGCAATCACATGGAGAAAACAAATAACTGGAGCCAGCCTGCTAGGTATAGATCAACCCCATACTTGTAGAAGAGCTCCTCCAAGCCATGCTTGAATGTCCCATCTGGATAGCTGATGCCCATCCGAATGATTGTGGCATCGGCATCGCAGTCGGTCTGCCATACGGGCATGCGCCCAGAAAGAGGCGCAAGCAAACGCATGGCACAAAACAACCAGCTGGTGCAACAATATCTGCATAATAAATGCCAACTAGCGATCAACACACGGGGAGGGATGCCAAGAAGATGTTCAAACATATTACCCACTCTGACAAGACAAGGGATGAGTAGGCCTGAGTCAAGCTAACACTAGTACATTCTAAGCACAGTGCCAGGCAAGAACATAAACGGGACAATTACACACAACATCCTTACAAATTTCACAAAATAAACATGCTTGACTTCTGCTGTTCGCAGCTCTCACGAACCGGGTCCGCAATGGGGAAATTATATTCACACTACTACGGGTATCAGCAGGTGCTCTTCTACTGACCCCTCTATTTGCTCAAAGGTTTACAAATTGACTACTCGCTGCCCCACATTTGCAGGACGGCGGGCCCTGAGGCTACCAATGGCTTCAAGCTTCAAGCACTCACGACAACTAAAACAGCCAAGCCACATCGCAGGAGCAATACAAGGGCCGATGCCCATGCACAATCAACCAGGGAGTCTCGCTTCCTGGGCGAGGCCACAGTAGCCGCTCGATCCTCGACGCCTTGAAACCCTCTACTCTGTAGGAACTGACGCATCCCTAGCCTAGGGCCTCCAACCTTGGGGCACCCAAGTATTCAAAGTATTCAATCCAGGGATGGCAGAAATGATTTCAGATCGAGAGCATCTGGGTCCTGAAACGCATTGCCACTTGATCAAAAAAAGTTGCCCGGCCAAGCTGTGCTTCTGTTGACTGCCGCGAGGTCATGCTCCAGCCACACGTACTGCTCGGCCACCATGTTGGGGTAGTTGAAGTACACCTGTTGGACAAACAGTGCAGGCGACCTTTCCCTCCCTCGCCACATTGGAGCCGTTCCGCATGTCAGCTGTTGTCTTCAAAGGGGCTTCACACGATACGAGGGCTTCCTTCTGCTTCCTTGTGATGGTGCCGTTTGGCAAATTGCTGTCCCTTGAACTTTTATGCAGTTTGGCTCCTTACGCTCTTGCAGCGAAACATGCAGTGGTACTCTATCATGATGCTGGCAGCCTTGCAAAGGAAGCAGGGTTGAGATAACTTTGCAGCCGGGACCTGGGCCAAATGTTGATTACTTTGGACTGGCTGCTCTTGCACATAGGTCAGTGTTGCCCGGCCGTTGCAAATAATTGTGGTCGCCTGTTGCTTGTCCAAGCATTGTGCAGCCTCCTTCTTTCTCGCTCAGTGTTTAGCCACCTGGAAGCCATCAGCGTGTAACCGCTTTCAACGCAAGCTCCAAAAAGCAGTGCCAGGAGACTTGCCACAGTCGTGGCTTGCAAAGGCCTCGGTGGAGACGGTCAAGAAGTGAATGAGGCCGTGGTTCCAGGAGTACCACCTGAGACAAACACTCAGCTCAGCTGATTTGGCAGCTGAAATGATGCAAATGCAGGTCCTCTCCAAGCGGCCAATTGTTTGGCACAGTTCCGAACTCTGGCAAGGAGATGCTGCCGCTGTTGGATGGCATATTCCTGTGCACTGAAACCACTGCCGCAAGCTTGGTGGTAAGGGACCCTGCGCACAAAGTAAGATGAGAGTAAATTGGCGCACAAACAAGTCTTCCGCCCTCAACCCTACAACATTCATACGCAACATACGCTGAGCAATGAATTGGCAGCCATCGCGGTTAGCAAGCTGCTGAGAATCCAGCCAAAACAAAGGCTGCTGACAAGAGGCGCCACACAACATAATTGCTGAAGGAAATCTGAACCGCACCGGGGAGATCTGCAATGGCAGCAATAAAAAGGCAGCCTCATCAAACCCAGCAAACCCGATATGCCCAACGAGGCCGTCCTGAATCTCTGCGTGTAGTGGTTGAAGTTTTGACTTGCCTCGTGGTTGCCCATGCTCACCATGTAGGGAACTGTCGCTGCCAAAGGCTCGATGTCGCGCATCCAAGCGTCCCCGTTCCTCCAGACCCAGAAGACTTGCATGTGCGAAGCAATGTGATGCTCCGATGCTAGGCAAATTGATTGACCACCTGTTGCGCCTTTTTGGTTATCTGTGTACCAGTTTGCCTGCCACCTTTTTTCGCTGTGCTTGTGGGGTCAAAGGGCACTTCACCAATGAAAGAGATTTCATTAGCTTGCAGCCAGCATCACGCAAGGTGGTAGCTAGCTAGATCTAAAGTTGCTATCACCACATTCTGATCCTTTCGCATCGCCTCAACTCGCCAACTCGAGGCCAGTCCTGCCGTTGTCGCTGTCGAAGTCGTATGCCATGTCACCGACATGAAGGACCATATCCAACTCACCATTTCGTGCCGCCATCTGAAGCGAAGGCAGGGTCTGCCCATTGTAGTCGCCCTGGTCCCCAAAAACTGCATAGGTCATCGGCAGCGCAGCCTGAGGACAATGATTTGTGCATTGAGCTTCTGCTATCCAACCGCCCGCGCAACTCTGCAGCTCTTCTTGAACAGTTGCCTGCCTGAACGTCACTCCTGGAAACCGGCGCGCTCTTGAAGTGCATGGCTGCGGACCAGCCCGTCGCATTCCCTTAGCCATGGCCCACATTGCTCAAAGCTCAGCACAGCGCAGCACGTGCAACCAGGGCACCTCCAACAATGTAATAGTAAAGCCTGTTTGGAAGCAGGTCCGTCATGGTAGCAATGTGCATGGTGAAGTTTCTTCGCTCATCCCCATAGTCCTGAAAGAGAAAATGCGAGCCGGCTGCTGTCCTTGCAGGGGAACGAGCTGGTAAAGGCAAAGCAGCACCAACATGTCAAGAATCATTCAGAGGTGACACGAGCAAATCACTCAAATCAAGCCAAGCAGTTTGTACTTCTGGCCATCTGCTCCAAAGTAGATTATGCATGAAAGTGCCGCAGTGCGGAATATCACAGTAACAGTGGGTGTCCTGTTGAGCTCGTCCTTTGCCAAACCGTACATCACAAATGAGTCTCCGGGGCAGTATGGGCTCAACTTGCGAAGGAAGCTCTCCTGCAAAGCATGAAGCGAAAAAGGTGCGGCTGTCATCTGAAGGCGGAGTGCAAAAGTTGGATACGTTTGGGACCGGCAAGGGCATCAAATTTGCAAGCCTCCCTCTCTCCATGCCCATTTGCTCACATGTGCGCGAACTGCACTTGTGGAAAACAATTTGGGGCAAGCGGCTACTTTTTGAGGAGTTCGCGGTTTCGCGAAATCGCTCCACAACGTTTCCATGCAACTAGTTGTGCATCAAGCTTTCGGACAGTCACGTCACACAAGCTTTGAATTCGCCTGCTGTGTTGTATGTACAGGAAGGTGCGGTTGCTTTGCTTTGCACAGCCCTGACCTGGGGGCTTCTGCAATTCCAAAGGGTCTGCGCGGTGGTTGCCGAAACATCCCACGCACGCCTGCCACAGAAGCTGTGAGAAGGCAGTGACTTGGCAATTACGCAGTTCCCAGCTCGTGACAAAAGAGAAACCGAACGCAATCCAACAGAAGAACCTCCGAACAAGCGCAATTTGAACACCAAGCACATTGCTCCTTGGTTCGCTCCCTGCCGCGAGCAGCCTTTTCTGGCTTCGAGGCCGCTCAGCAGCAGCCACAAAAAGATCAACGCGTTATTCCCGCCGCTGCTGCACAGGCGCAGCAAGCTGTTCTCTTGGTGAACATCAGCGTAGACAATGGCCCAAGGACCATGGCCCTTTCCATATCCCGCACTGATCAGGCGGCTGCATGTACAAGTTTGTAATTAAAGCCCTCCCTACGAAACTGTTTACCACATGCAGAATCACCGGCCGAGTGCTCCTTGATAGCACAGGCTTGTGCTTGGAGTGCCCCTCGCCATGTGAAACATTTCACCCTGGAGGGCCTCTCCACAACTCCAACTTGCAATCATTAATGATATCGTTTTGGGGTTTCGCTAATATCGCTTTCCGCGACTCGGAGCAAATCCCACCATAATTACAAAAATTGCCGACATGTACTTTTCATCACAAATGTTGCCGACTTGCTGTTCATTCTCAGTCCTGAATAGTAGACCAGTGCACGGTCATCTCGCCTGGAGAAGACAAGCATTCCTCACGCGCAAGAATACGATATGCAAGAATGGTGCATGTTCTGCACTTAAATTAAAATGCAATGGTTGTCGTTCTTAAGATTGATCGCAAGCTGCAGGAAAGCTTAGAAAGCATGGTGACAGTCGTGGCTTCCACTGCCTGGAGCCAAGCCCAGGCCGATATGTATCTGCTCGGGCTGCTGGTAGGGAGTATCGCCCGCCGCCAAGTGCAGCAGTCCTTGAAAACTTGCGGTTGCACTTTGCGCAGTGCAAGCTCCTTCTTGCCGAGTTGCCCAGAAGTGCCCACATTGCGTTCGGATCCTGTGATGTAATGCTAGCGCTTGATATTTGCCCCTTGATGGGTGAAAGGCAGCTCAAAACAATGCACTGAATTGAATTGTGGTGAGTAGTGATCATGACCCAGCTTCGCATCGCAACTAAGCGGCATTCGCGGCTGCGACGTGGTTGGTCTGAAGCCAGCTAAACTGCATGAAGCCGTTTATGTTGCAAGTCGAGAGTTTGCCAGACTTTCTGACATCCCTAGCTTCAAGCATCTGTCAAACTCTTCATAGTCTAAGGGGCGGCTGACCTTCATGGAGGGTTGTGCGATGGTGCTGCCCTGCTCATTCACCGCTCGTTTGCCTCTTGCCCGCAAGAGATGACACGGCAACGCTGCAGGCCATCTTTTTTCGTTCTTGCTACATGCTCAGCCGACAGAGGGCATGTCCTGGGCGGCGAATGAATCAGCCTCTTGAAACAAATGGTGCGACGGCCCTATGTTTTTCAGCATGACCCATCGACTTCTCTAGTCAGGATGGACTAGAAGCGACTCCCTAAACATCCGCAAGGCAACAAACTGCTGGAGTTGTTAAGGTGCAGCTTCATGGTAGGTGACTTCCTTTGCCAAAACCCTGCCCTGCCCTGAGCCAAGGTAATTACCTGAGCCAGCCAGGGTCAACCCAAACATGGGGCATGTGGCTCGCGCGGCGGCCAGGAGCAAGCCAGTGCTTTTGAGAATCGAGGGGATTCGTCGATATGCCCGACAACAGTGGTTGCGTTGTCCTCCACGAAACTAGCAATATTCTCAATATCCTTAGAATCGCGGACCTCCCGCGAGCTCGATTGTTTTCTTTCACTGCCTCTCAATGTCAGTTGTGAGACGGGTCTTGAGCAACAAAGGCAATGCATGTGTGTAATGTCCTGCGGTACGCACCTACGGTTACAACCCTATTCACACCCCCCACACTGCGCGCTCCGTTTCTGGAACACCAGTGCGGGGGCTTTGAAATTGGGGGCAGGAATCTTCGTTCCCACAACGCGTTCGGTGCTTTCACACAGCACGCCGGCTCTCCCTCTCATATATAATTACTCGTTTTTGATCACAACTCTCGGGCCATAATTAAGATTCCCCAAGACTGTGAAACAGCAGTGCGCGAATTCCAGAGGCTTCTGGACATGACCATAGGAGCAAGGGTACTAGCGTTCCAATAGACGGTATGGCTTTCCCCGCATATGCGCCCAATGCCCGGCACGAGTACTGATGAAAAGAACACCCGAAAACAATGTGTCACCATGCAATGATCCATTCAGAATGATACAATACTATTGGTCCCAGTGTACCAGAACACGAGTGTGCAGGCCCTGTAGGTAAGAGCCATAGCGCATATAGCACGGAGTGTGGGGGCTCTGTAGGTTGCCTTGTCAGAGCCATGTTGCACACAGCACATATAGCAGTGCCCTCTTCGCCCACTCAACCCCGAAGGATCCGGCCGGTCCACAGCTTAGCCTTGGGGTTTCAGGGAGAACAACTCCCTAGCAGCGTGGTGTATGCGAAGGTTGCTCCCCGCACAATCGCACCAGGTGGTTGTAGGATGATACATGGGTGGAAGGCCCTAGGCGCTCATGGCGCCGATGGTCCTCTCACCAATTCTCGTCCCATCCGCGGTCTCGGACATCGGTGCGGTCCCGCGCATCCCGTCGCCAAGGAGGAGCGTAATTCTTCCCTTGGTGTCCTTTCCTTTGCCCCTCCTTTTGCGTTTGCCCTTGTTGCCCTTGCCCTTGCTTTTGCCCGCTGATCCGGAAGAGGGCTCAGCAGTTCGGTCAGTGGGGCTTGATGACCTGCGAGTCTCGGGTCGATCGCCCGTTCTGTTCCGCTCTGCCGAAGGAGGTCTAAGCACTCTAGGGGGTTGGCTTTGGTCCTCCCGCTGAGCCGATTGGAGTTCATCAGATTCAACCCACGCCTTTCTCTGAGTGTCCTTCCTTTTCTGTTTTGCCCCATAGTTCGGCTGGATTGTTGCTTCCCCGTCCGCTAGTGGGATTCTGGTCTGGATGGCGACGCCCTGCTCCTTCAATTTGTTGTAGTTCTTCCACCGTTCTTGGAGAACAGGGCTGAATGGCATTCCATGATTGTTCATCAGAAGAAGATCCTGTATGGCTGTCTTGTCGCCCATGGCGGCGCGGAGCCGATTGCAAGGAATACACTTTCCACCTTTGACTCCATATATGCTTGATTGAAAGAACGAATATTTCTCGACATTGAAGCACGTGCCAATGACCAGGTGGAACACGTCGAACATCTGGTCTAGCGTGTTGTTCCTTGTTGCTCGCAACTCCGAAGATTTGTAAGTCGTGACGGCGGCCTCTTTCAGATCCTTGAGGCTCTTCCACAACTTTTCTTTCCCGTACTTTTCTAAAAGGAACGGGTAGGTAGATCTTCGTGGAGAATAGCCCCATAATGTGAATCATGCTCTCATCTCGACGTACTCCGTATTCTGGAACGATCGTGGCAACTCTTCTGGATTGTACCCATCACGCGTCTCCTTCCAGACGTGCTTCCATTGCACAATTGTAATATCGACGGGTCGATATGGGCTGTCAGCTGGCAAGCATTTCGGGACGTGGTGGCAGAAAGTTTTTGATTTCCTCTTCATCGTCCGCCTCACGGTCTGGCCCCCAATATAAGTTGATGGCGTTGCGGTTCTTAGCCAGATGACCAGAGGTGGCCCCTTCCTGCCTGGAGGGCCCAGTCTGGCCTGCAGGTGTTTAATTAACACCTGCTGTTTTTGGAAACACCTGCAGCCACAACAAACAACTGCGAGGGCAAGAAGCACTTGCGAGCCAAACCTAAGAAACGCAGACGTTTGTTGCCCAAACCAAACAGCTTTACCCACACTGCAGACGTGTGTTGCCCAAACCTACCGGGGGTACATGCCAACGACAAAGTCATGCCTAAGTCACTCCTTTATCTCTGTGGCCATGTGTTCCCCCATGTAAACGCCGATTCCAAGAAGTCACTCCTAAGTCACGCCTCGGCAACAATCCCCATGAAACGCTTGACATCACCGAGCTGGCCACGCTAAAAAAAACACAGGTGCCAACGTTGAAACACACTGGAACGCTAATGATGGCAAAGCCTGTTTGAACATGCAAAACATTGGAACGCTAAGGATACGGTAACTTGTCGCGGGAGAGTTCAGTTTCAGGAAGAAATGGTCCTGGAGTTCTTTCTCCGGAACGCACACGCGCAATGCACCCAGGCAAAAAAAAAACGAAATCAAAACGAGATCAAGACGGGATCAAAAGGCAAGCGCGCCCGCTCATGCGCACCCGCTCAGCGCTGCACACGCCAGCCAAATGGTCACGCGCCTGCCAAAGCACACCCGCTCAGCCCTGCGCACACGCCAGCCAAATCCCAAGCACACCTGCTCAAGCGCAACCGCTCAGCCCTGCACACACGCCAGCTGTAGCAAGAGAAAAGGCATGTCTTAGAACATGCCTAAGCCATCCTAAACCCAACTGAATAACCATTCAACCGCAACGCCTCCCAAAAACCTATCCCTTCAAACGTACTAGTTCCTATGCGTTTTCGAAAACCCCCCAAGCGCTTTCCAATTCTTCCGCGCAAGCACCCATACCTGTCCTACAAATAGCAAAGGCCTGGCGCAAGCGCATAGCAAGATGCTGCCCATTTGGTCAAGAAGCAGGCATCCAAGCGCGCGCCTCAAGTTCAACGCGGCGCTATACTAATATCTTGCCGCGCATGGGCGCGCCTGACGCTCTACGCCAATGCGTTGCACGGCGCGCCCAAAGCAGATACGCCATTGGCCATGTTTCATCTTCCACTTTGAAAGCAGGAGCCAAAGAGTTCGCCACAGTTCAAGAGGGTTGGCTTGTTGCGTTGTTGTTCCAAGCTCGGGCTCGGTTTTCCAGCGCGGAAGAACAGGCAATCATAAAAGCGCTGCCTGCGTTTAGGCTATGGCTGGGTGTGACGGCTGGGGCGGGTAAAAAAATGTCTGACCAGGGACGGGACCGCGAGGGGCAAAACAAAGCAGCCAGCCAAGCATGTAACGCGTCGCGTCGGCCAGTTTGTTTGCTCACAGCACTGATCATGCGCTCAAGCCCCGCCATAGTCTTGCGAGACACATTGCGCAAGCATGCTGGTTCTGCAAGGAAGTGCAGTGAGACGCTCGTTGGCTGCCATCCGTGCCAATAAAAGTGGAAGTGTTTGCTTTGCTCTTGTGGCGATTGTGGCCAGCGGTCTGAAGTTCTGCAAGCCCTCCTTTGCATTTTGACCGTTTTGCAACGAAGGCCGTGAGCCTCTTCCCAATCTGTGTTGCATTTCGACACCTTCTTTTGCAAGACCGTTCCGTGCCTAGCGCGAGTGAAATGCAAAGCTGGAATTTGCGGTTTGGCCAGGATATGTGTCACGTACAGGTGTTTGCTCCCGGCCTCAGTTTGTCTATCTGTGTGCGCGCGCATGCGCTGCCATGAAGCATCCCGTAGCGCACCGTGCCGTTGCGTCCGTGTTACGCAGGCTCAACGTAAGATTGTGTAAGTACTATAGCTCATCTGCGTGCCCGGGCGCACACGTTTGCTTACGTGCGGGCATGCAGGGTATGTGCGTGTGTTTGCGCGCGTGCCCACGCGCGAGTGCTTGGCGTGAAACAAAGCCCGAGAGCCAACATACATTCAACCAACATGTTAATACAGCTGCGACACAGCCAATGTGACTGTGTTGCGTCCAAGTGTGCAGGCACACGCGCGTACACGCACCTGCACACAAGTAGACAATCTACACACACACACATACGCCTCAGGGCGCGCGCGCACACACGAACACAAACAAGCAAGCGCTAGCTGTTACAAACGTTAGGTAATTGAACGCGCGTGTGTTCCTGGTTTTCGCAAATAGTTGGCCTGTTCTCAATGTTTCGCTTTTCGCCAATCCTTGATGCCACTGATGCTCGATGATGTGGTCTTCGCGCTGCCGTACTCTCACTCACTCAGTCACTCAGTCACTCAGTCAGTCAGTCACTCACTCAGTTTTTTTGGTGACACCAATTGAAGCCAATGCTGTTGGCATGCATTGGCAGACAAGTGTCATAGTAGTTGTGGAAGATGCGCTCTCCAAGGTCGCCCCCTTTCAGCTCCTCCAGTTTCTCCTCGAACTGCTTGTAAACCTCGCTCTTTGCAAGGACCTCTTCACCCGCCTTGGGGTCCAACCCCAGGTTCTCCGTGTCCTGCCTCCTAGGCACGAGAGCACGTCCGGAGAAGCCAACTGGCCCGATACACATTGAGCAGGCAGAACAATTTGGGCTCAGTCTCGATGCAGGCATCAAACAGAGCTGGGCAGTCAAGGGCTAAGAGTGCACTTGCAGCTTGCAGGATCTGATTGAGGGCCCCTCTTGAAGGTGAAGTCAAAAGGTATCACCGGCGAGTGTGCGAAACGCGACACCGTTCAAAACCAAACCCCGGATGCAAAGCAAGCCGTCTTTGCCGACTAGCCCCACTTTTTGGGACTCCAATAGAATAGCCAGTCCTGCTTTCGAGTTAGAGCGGCACACATGCATGCTCGCCCTTTTGGCCGAAGCTCAGCCACATCCGCGTGATCTTGCCGCCCTTCTCCTCGTAGAGAACCACCAAGCGTTCCTCGCGCGGTTCGCGCACCCCCAGTCGGCCATCAGGAGGAGTCCCTGCCATGGCGGTGACGAGGCTCTCGTGGTCCTCGAAGTCCAGACAGTACCTTTCATGCAAGTTGAGTCGGATAACACCCATCTGAACATTGCACAGCACCTTCGTATGTATCTGGAACTTGTTCAAGAACAGTCGGTTAGCGGAGGTGTCTCTTGGATGGCCAGCGTCTAGAACCTAACTGACCCAACTTAGTTACTTGAGCGACCTAAACGCTGTGTGCATAAGCATCTGGGCAGCCTTCTAGCATGTCTAGCCTCAGCCAGGCTCTGCCAGTGGACAGACGACAACTGGAGAATTTGCAACTGAAAACAAACACATGAGACAGAGTCGAGAAATATGACAAGGCACGTTGGGCTTTTTGAGTCGAAATAGAAGCGCTTCAGGCACGTGCCGCGCAAGCCAGTACCAGACTCCCGGAAGACGCAAGCAAAGCGCTTCTGAAACATCTTCTTGTCCTTCGCACGCGATGCAATGGCAATTCCTGTTCGGGGGGCCGCCTTTTCGGAGAAGCCGTGTTGATAAGCACTTGTGCGATGCAAACGACCCAGTCAAACTGATATGGCTTTAAAGCCCCCGAGGAGAAGCCAGGGTGCACACAAAAGGTTCACACAAGAACACCAGGATTAAGCCCCTGCCACGGGCTAGTTAAAAAAAACCAGAGGACGATTGGCCCGAGTGCTCATCCAGCCGCGGAGACACCTTTTTACATCGCTGCGGCGAGCGTGTCTGCACGCGGCGATGCTCAATGTGTATGGTCACATGAGAGCTCCATCTCATCGTCCTACGAGAGGAAACATGGCAGTGCTCGATCCCACATATTTACATCCGTTAAAACAAGAAGAGTAAAGCTCGTAAAGCTCGAACGAATTACAAGCAAAAGGAAAAGCAATCAATAGCAAAGCTTACACGACGGCCACAGTTTTTGCAAAGCACGCTCGTGCAACTTAGCTCTGTGCAAGATGGCTCTGCGCAGCTTGGCTCTGTGAAAGTTGGCTCTATGCAAGCTACTTTTCGCGAGTGGCTCTGCGCAACTGGCTCTGTGCAAGTTGGCTCTGCACGAGCCTGCTCGGCGCAATGTGCTTTGCACGAACTGCGCCGCGCGATTTCTCACGAAAGTGGTCTGCGCAAGCTGCATTGTTCCAGGCTGCTGCGCGCAAGTTGCTCTCTGCAAGCTGCTGCACGCAAGTGCTCTGTGCAAGTTGCTCTGCGCAAGTGCTCTGAGCAAGTTGCTCTGCGCAAGTGCTCTGCAAGTAGTGGGAATGTACTTCGCGTACTATTTTTGTACTTATAAGTTGCGATTTTCCAGCCGGAGCTGCGGGAGTGTGCTCCGCGTACTACGTTTGTACTTAAAAGTTGCGATTTTCCAGCCGGAGCTGCGGGAGCACGCTCCGCATACTACGTCTGTACTTAAAAGTTGCGATTTTCTAGCCGGAGCTGCAGGAGCACGCTCCGCGTACTACGTTTGTACTTAAAAGCTGCGATTTTCAAGCCGGAGCTGCCGCGGACCAGGGGGGAATCGAACCCGCGACCCGAGACAACTTCCAAAGGCCATTTCGCGAGCAACAAAATCGCGCGGGCACCGCGGAAAAAAAAATAAAAAAAAAAAAAAAACGCAAAAAAAACCCTCGAGTTTTTGCACCTCCACCACGCCGGTCCCCGCGAAAAAAACGCAATAAACCACCTCGACAACGCCGATCTCCGCAGAGGGTCGCGCGGGCACCGCAAAAAACGCAAACAACCTCAAGTTTTTGCACCTCGACCACGCCGATCTCCGCAGAGGGTCTCGAGTTTCTGCACCTCGACCGCAGAGGGTTGCGCGGGCATATCAAAAAACGCAAAAAACCTCGAGTTTTTGCACCTCGACCATGCCGATCTCCGCAGAGGGTCGCGCGGGCAATCAAAAAACGCAAAAAACCTCGAGTTTTTGCACCTCGACCACGCCGATCCCCGCAGAGGGTCGCATTCCCGATCGTCGGCAACATCCCCACCCCCCGCCTTAAAAGAAATTCTTAATACCGAGCTCTTTCTCTTTCTTTCCCGCGCGTTAAGTACTTAACCTAACTTACTTTACCTAGCTTACACAGCTGCTGCCGCCGAGCCTCTACACCTAGCTTAGCTTAGCCTTGCTCTATGCACCTAGCTCTATGCACTTGGCTCTATGCACCTGGCTCGATGCACTTCACTCTTTGCACTTGGCTCTGTGCACTTAGCTCTGTGCACTTGGCTCCTTGCACCTCGCACTTTGCACTTCGCTCTGAGCACTTGGCTCTATGCGCTTGGCTCTTTGCACTTGGCTCTGGTGACTCTGCGCAAGTATCTCCATGCTGGTGACTCTGTGCAAGTATCTCCATGCTGGTATCTCCATGCTGGTGCCTCTGCGCAAGTATCTCCATGCTTGCAACTCTGTGCAAGCTACTCTGTGCTAGTAACTCTGCGCGAGTATCTCCATGCTGGTATCTCCATGCTGGTGACTCTGTGCAAGCTACTCTGCGCAAGTTGGCCAAGAGCTCCTGATATCTCCATGCTGGTGACTCTGTGCAAGCTACTCTGCGCAAGTTGACCAAGAGCTCCGCACGGAAGAACCCTTCGCAATGCTTTCGGGAAAAAAACGGATCCCTAGGCCGGGCATCTGCCAAAATCGTCGCGTGCAAGAGTAGCTGCAATTGAACAGCTGCAACGTACAGAATGTGCAAATCCCAAATCCCCGCTGGGAGCATACAGAACTCAACTTAAGACCGTTGGTCCTTGAGCACTACGCCTCCAGACTTCAAGTCAATGATCTGCACCCCATCCTGGGGTCACATGCAATTGTCGGTCCGAAACTGCATGCCTGCATGTGTGCAACGTCATGCTTCCTTCGACTGACTTTCAGCAGCGATCGTGGCTGGCAGTGCATTTCAGCACGGATTCCTTGCAAAAAAATCCCAAGACCTTAGAGACACCGAACCTAAGAAGCAAGCCCTGTGCCTAAGATTTTGTTCGGCCCCTTGGCCTGACTGTCTAAACACTTGCTCCCCCAAATGCCGAGTCAACCACTGCGAAGCAAGGTGGTGGCTGCTAACGTGAATGCCCTCAGCAAATACGTGAAGGGCACGCTTGCAAACATGATCACTTGACCTTTGCTTATGTTGCTCTTGTCGGTTGCGATGCATGATGTGGAGCATGCTCCAGTTCATGTATCATAAGTTGAAGATTTCCGCGCTGCAAATCGACACCCATGCTTAAGTAAGCATGGGGTATATGCTGGAGTTCAAATGTGACAAGTTTGGATGCATGTTCAATGTACGTCACTTCATTGTTGACTCGCAGGCCAAGGAACGTGGAAGGACTCCAGGAAGCGTTTAAGCTTTGCCTCCACCAAAGGCGAGCGCTTCTCTTTGGGAAGGTCGTTCGGAATGGGCTCGTTGTATGCCTCCATCTGCGCATTCGCCAGGAGTACCGCATTTGTGTCCGGCTCTGCCTCAGCCTCGGGCACGCTCTCTGCCTCTTTGGGCGCCTTCGGCTTTGGCTCATCCGACGTCTTTCCTAGCTTCTCACGCTTCTCTGGCTTCTCACGCTTCTGTGGCTTCTCTCGCTTGTCTTGTTTCTCTGGCTTCTTCGCCTTCTTCCTCAGTGATCGCACAACACAATTGAATGTAGAAGGCCGGAGCTATGACTTATTGTTGCCGTTCGTATGACATCCCTCGCAAATACACATGACTGTTTGCCTCTCGTTTTGTAGCAGCAATATGGCTGGTTCAAAGCATTGGGTGCGAAAGGTGGTGAAGGAATGCCAAGACTGCAAGACAAATATGCACGTGTAGAAACCTTGGTTAAATGGGAACAAAACAGTCTCAAGAACCAGACTTGAGTTGCATGGCTAGAAGGGGATGGGTGGGCGTATTATCTTTTGAGCCGAACCGCAGCTTTACCGTTACAGCCATTCAGCCTGGGCTCTCTTCCTTGGGCTTTTCCTTTGCCTTCACCGGTGTCGCCTTCTCCGTCTTTCCCTTTGGCTTTCGCAGATGCCGCAAGAGACGTTTGCGCAGCTCTCGGTTCTCCACCTTTAGCACCTCATAGTCCACCTGCGCAGTTCGACCCTTCGGGGCCCTGGAGCTCAAGGCGGCGTTTTGAACGTGCGCTGCGACCCATTTTTGCGCTCAGAAAAAGACGACATGGAAAGCGGTCGCATGGTGATGCATGCCGCTGTTGTTGCCCAAATGCACAAAGGAAAGCCAACTCGGAAAAGTGCCTTTGTCTGGAAGACCTGCACCCCGTAAAGCATCCCAACTCCGGAAAGTCGCCTGCAACAGCGTCAGCTGGCCCTCTGCAGAAAGCTCCTGCTCCCTGCTCGGGCTCCGTGAGCGCTTGCCCATGGGACCGGTGAGAGTACGACACGAACTGACAAGCAAACATTTGACCGGTCTGTTCTGGGGCATGTCCTGCTGCAGGCTTAGGGCTAGGGTTGGTTGATGTGGGTTGCAGGCTGAGGTTTCTTTTTCGACTGCACTTTCCGGAAGCACCTGCTTGCTATTTGCATTGCCGGTGAGGAGCAGGTGATGCCCATCACTTGAGTGTAGTGATCTCGTCCACCTCTGGTCCGAACCAAGCAGCTGCAAGATTTCGGTGGGGCCTTTGAGGAAGATGGTGCAGCGGTTCTTAGGGCAAACAAGGCGCAATGGCTCATGCAACGAAGCCCCCAGTCTCACATCCATACCCCTCTTCAGCACGATTCGAAAGCAGAAACGGAACTGCCATGAAACTGAAAAGCATAGAACGCAGAATGAGATTGCACAAATCATTCTAGACAAGCATTTGCGTCAGGCATAGATATATTGTAGACCTGCTGCTTTCAACGTTCACTACCCAGCACACCGTGGGATAAAGTGGCTGTCATCATATAGCTGTCCATATGATGACACATGCCAACAAGTTCTGATTGCCTAAGTCTGCAGGTTCTGGTTTGCTATTAAATGGGCAAAACCCTTGCCGCTTCGTGTTGGGATCGGCGATGTGCTCTTGCAATTCCGCATGCGAGCATCTACAAGCACATCAAGCTTAGATTGAGCAGACCATTCTTCAACCAACCTTCAGCCTGGCACCTACTTTTCTCCGAAGGTCAGACATCACGCATCTTATCCCATCATCTAATCTGACTGCGCGGACTCATGGCAGCAAGCCACGTGATGCCGCATACCAGCAGGTAAATCAAGTAACCGCTGCTTACAGGCCCTTGAGCAGCACATTGGGGATTGGAGAATGGCTCCAGCCTCAGTTTTCGCCAGTGGACAGCACTACAATGGTCAGCAGCACCATAACCAGGAAAATGCCGCCCACAGCCGTATATAGCCTCAGATGGGAGACCGCGCAAGCTAAACGGAACTAATGATCTGGTTGAACTAAACGATTGGCTTTTCGCCGGTACACTGATTGCAACATATCAAGCTTCTCTGGACAACAAACACAACACATAGACATACACACACACACTCACACACACACACGCATAGATTACCACAAATCCAATTTGGTTCGAGGGCCTCCTTGAAACGGAGGAGAGTCAACATGTGCATCCTGTCCCATAGGAGCCTCTGCCCACACCCAACAGTACCGTCCCCCTTTCCTTAGCCAGTGGCGAGCCGGCGCCATCTTCGCCCAAGTCTGCGCCCATCCTTGGCCAAGCGGTGGCTCTTGCAAACAAGCTAACCAAGTTTACCAAGGGTTCCATGGTCAAAGCTGGTTGTTTTCCATAGAACTGCACAGACTCACCCTCTGATTACTGCAGTCTGGGTGCTGGCCCACTGGGGTATCTCGCAACATTTCTCGTGCTTGACGGCGCTCTTCTTCAGTTGGCACTGCCCGTAGGGGCAAACCTTCGGGCAATGGGTTGCAACCTCCTTAAGATATTGGTCACGTGTCGGCTTTTCGGGAAAATGTGTTGCTCGATCTTGAGTACGCTTTCACGAGGGGCGGCTTTCGGCCAAAAAAGCTAGTAAGGGCTTTACCTGCCTTACCTCCAACATCCTCGCAGAAAACACTTCTGGAAAAAGAACTGGGCACTTGGGTCCCCAGAAGTTGGAGTGGCGCCGTGGTGCGTGGTGCCGCTAAGAACTGCGTGCCAGCAGCAAGCCATCCAGACTCACCTTCTTCGTGATCTCACCAAACCACAAACACAATGAACATGCAAAAGGTCAGCAAACGCTATCAGACTTAGTATGCCTGTAGCAAACACTGGCACCAGCACGGGTACGGTACTGTAGCTGGCAACAAAAACTCCCGTCCAGCCTTTTGCGCGACCTTCACGCAGCCTCAGGGGGTACACTTCAGCGCAATCATGTGCAAGCAATGCCAAGCGCCGCATGCTACTGACTCGAGCTCATGATGGCGTGCCCTAAGGGAAAACATCAGAAACAAACACTTCGATGCCAAGTAACGCATTCCAGACTGACAGACTATCCAATTCACCAAGATGCCTGGGAGATGGAAACAATGACTCTGGAGACGACACGAAGAGACTGCCGCCTGATCCAGGGGCAAAGTTTGTGCTTGAAATTGCATGAAGCCGCCATCATCCTTTTCCAAATTGCTGCTGGGTGCTGGGAACCCATTACAAACTCCACAGAAGACAAAAGCCACACTTACAACTCGATAAGCAAAAGCCGAGTATGAACATGCCGAACACTGCGCATCGCCTGCGAAAGCCGCAGCCAAGATCAACAGCATGCTTCTCCTCCTGCGATGCAATGAGCCTCTGCTTCCCATGCCTCTCCAAACGCTCATGACAAATCAAGCTCGTACATGTGACGCTTGATGCTTGAACAGGGATGCGCAAGAGGCAAACTGTGTTGCCGTCAACATGCTGTGGTTTGAAGGAACGCCCAATCATATGACATGTGCAAAGGCCAAACCCCCTTCCTTTCATGTTCGACTCTAAAAACTGGCCTGGCGGTTTTGGCGGTTGCCCTGCAACCTTCCATGGCGTTGCTCCGGGATGCGCAAAGAAACAAGCGTGCTCAGCATTGCCCTCGCCAGCTGATTGGCATCTGGTATGTGCAGTGCATCTCGCAGTCACTGATCTCAGATCTGCGTCGGCGAGCAAAATGGCCCAACATTCTGCTGCTCGCAAAGGCGAGGGTCTGCGTTGAAGAAGGGCTGGATTGTCGCTCGAGCTTGGCAGATGCGGTAAGTCGGTGTAGTCGCCCTACCCTCTAGCAGGAAGCAGGGCTTCAAACCAAGGCAAAGGAAGCCTTGCGACTCAGCTCCACAAAATCCGCGCAAACGCAATTCCTGAGACTCAAATAGACCCAATACAGCAACATTCCTCAGGATAGAACATTCAACAGTTAAATTCCCTGCTGGTACACGACATTGTGACTGGCCTGCCGAAACCTGTGCTTCACGAGGCTACTTGATGCGCTTTGCCTGAGAGATGACAAACACACTGACGTCTGCCGTAGAATATGCAATCAATCTAGGCCCCTCCTGCAGCGTTCTTTTGGCACGCGGCTGTGCTTTGGCATCCAAGCATCTGAAATCTGGCTACGCGATATGTGTACAAAGTGCACAGACGGGTCTAAAGCGATCTGAGCGACCACTGTTCTGCACATTGAGGGCTGTCAAAGGCATGTATCCAGCTAAACTTTGACTGTCACCGTCTACCACCTGCAGAAGCTTGATAATTTTATTGCGATGATGTCCACTCCCCTCCAACGATCAAACTCCGTTGCAACCCTTTGTGCGGCGGAAGCTTCTCACAGGTTCAGGAGCCAATCCAGCCTGATCAGCATGAAAGGCACGAACTGCCCGGCCGCGTTGCTTCTCCCTTTTTCAAGCAACCCGAGCAGAAACTACTTGGCGAAGTCCAGCTTGTTGCTCTGAGCTGCGTGCCTTGGAACTTGGAGTTGCTGCGCACCACGAAAGTTGGACCGCCCGCCTTGCCGGACTGTGGGACATGCTTCGGCTGTGACATGGCACGCCATGGCTTGCTAAAAAGCGGCCGGGATGGTCTGGGCAGGGTGGCCGTGCCCTAGCATTCTACCCAGCCCACTCCGTGGCTTGCCTGCATTCATCCCTGCATTCTAGAAGACAAATCGCTGCATTCTATCCACACCCGGACCCTGCCCCCTCACATCCCCTCACCTTCTCAAGGGGGATCACGTCACCTTTGGACGTGAGGAGGTGCTCCAGGTCCCGCGGCTCGAAGCTCACCAAGCGGCTGGGGATGCCCTCGTTGCCTGAGACCGGAACCCAAGTGGAGAGATGTGGAGAGGTAAGAATTTGGTCAGAAGCTCAGTTTCAGGTTGCGGGAGCTCGGCAACCCGCCTCTTCTGCAAACTTTTCGCGCGACAAAAAAGCAAGCCTACATAGAATCGACATGTTCAGAGCTGTCTCAAGCTTGTCAGTCAGCAAGCACGCGCAACATGCTACAATATACTTGTTGCCCATTCAAGAACTGTTGTTTTGCAAAACAAGGGCAACCTGGCAGCATACCAAGCTCTCAGCATGTTGCCAAGGTGGAAACACGGATGCCTGTTTGGGTTAGGACCCCCATGCAGGTCAGATCAGTTTTCGGCAGTGTGGGCATGTCTGGGCATCGGACGCATCTGCTCCTCTACTATCTCCTTGCACGCAGTGCTCACCTTGCAGCGCATAGCAGCCAACACCCAATTGTACATTGCGCTCATCCCAATCAGCTCCCCCTCTGGCACCTGCACGCAGCCTTCCGGAGCTGTGGATTCCAGCACCTGCAGAGCTTCGCTCAAGCAACTGACTCAACTAGAGAACTCCCAAAAGAACAATCGATCAGAATGCGCGCCCCTGGTGTCACCTGACGAATGCATCATCCCTCCTTGCAAATGTCGGCCTCCAGGGCAGACATGAGCTCGCCAAAGAGATGATACCTGACCATGTGCGGCTTGTTTTCCGACTGACTGACTAACTGACTGACCGACTGACTGACGGGCTGCCTGCCTGTCTCCCTGCCTGCTTGGATGGCAGACTGACATTCCGTGCCAGGATTTGAATACGACGAGAACTTGGGCATCAAAGCAAGCCCAAAATCAAGACTCAAACTTGAATACCCAGCCTTTGCATCTCCGTACCCACAATGCCACCGATGCATGCCTGGCACGCATATCTGGAAAGCATTTGTCCAGACCATGAATGCGCACCACATGAAAGAATCGCAAAACCAACCAACCAAACAACCAAACCAAACAAACCAACGCGCACACACACACACACACAAAGCATCGCCCGCATGAGCACTCCTGGACATTGACCAACTCGCTCATATTCTTCTTACATGCGAATCCCACACATGAAGCTTGAGGCCCACAAGATTTAGCATTGAACCTGTCTGTACGGTTTGCAAAGGAGCTGATGCTCATTTGCCTTTCCCTACTAGGTGTGGTGGGTAAGGCGTTTATTAACCTACTTGGGCAGTCAGTTCATCAAATTCATCAAAGCACTGTGCAATGCAGTCATCGGTCGTGCCAGATGGGCCCCGTGTGCAATACCAACTCGGCAGCTCACGCTCCAACCTGTCAGCGGCAGGACACGTATGCAAATCCAGCGGGTCAAAACAGAAGGGGATATGATGATATGATGCAGATAGATATATATATATATATATGTATACAAGTTATACAAGAGAAAAACAATTGGTGACCGGTGTGCTTTCCATGTGCTTTTAGAACCATTCTCATTTCTCGTGCTTCCTGTCGGCAATCAGCTGGCATGCCCATCACGCAAGCTGGCTCCCAGCCTTTGTCTGCCGCCCAGCTATGAACCTCGCTCACCTGGGGGAAGCCATTTGCGGGCCTCTGTGCTGCCCGCACCGTCTGGCCAACCCTCAATACCCACACCGGAACATTCCTTACGTGGGAGAAAAGCCATGATTCGAGCAAGCATTTTGACACACGCACGTCTGCCAGTCCCTCATAGCAACATCCAAGCAAGTTGAAAAGCTTGGGACTTTCGGCTTCCTGTGAGTTCTGGGCTTTCATGTAGGGCATATATTGTGGGTCACTTTGCTTAGTTGACACGCTTTGCTTCTCAAGGCTTGAGCCGACCTATCGACGTCCTTGCACTGGCACTGATCATGCCTTGCCTTTAACTCCTTCACAACAGCCGTGTAATAGTTAGAGGGGATCTGCACAAGAGTTGGGAGTGGGATCCTCACAGCAGTCACGCATGAGCCTTCATGCTCACACAAGAGTCACGCGCGCGCGCTTGCATGCCTGAAGGTTCCTCCATATTTTACAGTTCCGATGCTAACGCATGCTGGTTGCTCTCTTGCTTCACCCGGGCCCCGAGCCATCTCTAGTCCGAAAAGGACCACCTCGGAGCATGGTCTGGATGAAATTGGATGGGCAGAAGGGAGGGTCCTAAATAACTCTTCACACATGCGCAATTGATCCGCATTGATTTGAAGCAACTTTCCACGGATGCAGGCAGCCTGCTCGACAAGGCTGAACAAATTGCGAGTCACCAAGCCAGCTGCGCTCACAGGGTGGTTCTTCTGCGTCAACGGTGGGTCTGCCTAGCACTCAGCGGGAAAGCGGTCAAACACCCACACTGATCTGCCTCTTGCCTGGGGATGTTAGGGTTCATGGACAAAGCCAAGTGATGCCAACTGGGAGTTTTCGGCGAGATCTCTAATGGGCACCAAAGCAAAAGCAACCAACGACAGTATTTGTGACCGCCGTTAACTTGATCGGCCCCCATTGACTCCGCAATGGGCGCCCCATCTTCAAACAAGCCCGTAGGAGGCCGACTTGGGCTACTTGGATGCCCTGGTTGCCGATGCTCGGCCTCCCGCCTGTCCCGCGATGTATGCATCGCCCACGGTCTCAACCTTGTACACCTTGCAAGCTTGAACCCTTGCCCAACCCTGCATATCATAAAATCATTACCTGCCAGCACATGCCAGCACCGCTGCCTGCACACAAACAATCAACCAACAGTTGGTCGCCTACGATTCACTGAAGAACTCTTTCCAAGCGTGAAGCAGAACTCACATCCTAGCCCACGCATGGCTGGCGCCATTCTGACTCCCGACATGTTACTCCCGGCGATGCCCGCCTGATGCTTGTCTGTCAGTGCCTGCCAGGCACGCAGGCCAGCCGGCGGAAGCAACGGAATGGCAAGATTGGCGGGCGGTAGCAGCAGCATCGGATTGTCACAAAAAAGTTTGCAGCCGAGCAGCATCGAAGTTGCCAAACAGCTCCTTGCTGTGCAAACAGGCCAGCAGTGAATTTAGCAACAAAGTAAATAAGTAGCAAGTGAGCCCTCTGGGTGCCAAGATTTGTTCTCGCAATTTCTCGCATTCTGAACTTCCGAGCGTCGCCGATGAACTGCACCACCTCCTTGGGGCTTCGAGTGCTTGCCTCGGTATGGGGGGAGAGACCGCTGGCGAACAGGGAGGACATCCCCGAAACGACCGTGCTTGAGCCTGATAGCATCTTCGCTAAAAACAACAGCCCCGGTCCCGGTGAGTGCTGCACTAAAAAAAACGGGCTGCGGCCTTTTTTTGGGAGAGGCCAACTCTCGCATTGACAGGAAGCCAACTACCCAAGTGAATCTTGCAGGTGCCTGTTTTTGAACATGGAAGCTCTGTTTGCCCTCCATCTTCAAGGGGCTGCCAGGCTACAGCCCAAAGCGGGCTCCTCTCAATTCTTCTCATGTTGTGGCACACGACCTCCATCAAGCCTTCTACAAGCACTTGCTGATGCAGCCCAAGGCCGTTCTGACCATTGAGACCTGCCGCCTTCCCGCTAAGGCTCATGCAAGCTTCGTAAAGCCGCACAAGTCGGATTGGGCAATGGTCGCTTTCTTGTACCTTGGTTTCCAGTGCCGCTGTGTGACCTGGTTCCTTCTCCCCCTAGGCAAGTTGCTTGCAGTTGTAGGCGCCAATGACAAAACGCATGCAAAGATCCGTCTGCCCTTTGGAGCCTTCCCAGCCCACCCTTCCAAAGTGGCAAATGGGTGTCTCGGCATTCTTAACCTTGTCATCAGTATTTGTCCAGTATCGGTTGCTGGGGCTCCGAGCTTGTGGGACGGTAGCACTGCATGCAGCGGGAGGCAGCGCATCTCCTGCAGAGAAGCCAGCCAAAGCTTTTCTTTGCGAGGCGAAGATTCGCTATTGAGATTGCAGGACAGGAAACTTGCAAGGTTCTGCTTGGTGCCAGGCCTCAACGCAAAAACCGAGCCAAGCAGCGCAAAGCCCCTGGTAAAGAACTTGGAGCCAACAGAAAGAATGTAAGCGTGTTATAATGATGCTTCCGCTCGAGGCTTCGCCACTTTATAGTCAAAGAGTTGCAAACGCAAACAAGACTTAACAAATGCTTGGCTAGGCAGCTTGTTTTGTTGTCATGCGCAGGCGCATTGCTACATGTACACTGGCATGGATCCCAGCTGAGTCTCAAAGGAGACAGACTGGGATTCAGGCTGGGAAAGTGAGAGGCATTGATCCAGGGTCGTCCTGGGGTAGCTTTCTGGCCCCCTAGCCCTTTCCCTGGAACATCAGCAGCGGTCAAGTGCTGAGCACGTGAACCAACAAACGAGGGGAGACGGCATTTTGCCGCCGAGCTCCCAGGCTGACTCATCAAATTCTTGGGGCAGCCTGCAAGGAAGACCAGCGGGAACTGCTGCCAGCGTGCAGTTCCATGCGGCATAGCATCAGTATACCAACAATGTAGCTGCGCAAAAAGAGGTGTGACATTGTATTATTACTGCTTCAAATGGCGTGGTTTTGCTTGAACTCCCTTGAACAACTACGTTCAGACTGGTGCACGGGCAGCGCTCAGAACATTCGCCCGTTAGGCCTAATTATCCTTGTGCAAGAACCTGAGCACATGACATGCACTCACATGCGCTCATGCCATAACAGCTGACATGCCCGACAGTGCAAAACCCGCATGCAAAGGTATGCCCTTCTCCCTTCAATTCTTCCCTTTCCTGTGGGCCTGCCTGAATCTCCCGAAGGTTTGAACTCACGATAACCCACGACAATTCCTACCCGCGGAAAGGCAAGCAACCTAACTTTGTTTTCTACGGCGCGAGCACTATCAATCATTTCCGAACAGCAATGCAGGAATCGGAGGTGCAAGAGTGCAGGTCCAAAATTACCCAGCAACGGCTCGAACACCTGCCGAGAGGCTGCGATCTTGCTGCCAGTGGGTGACAGCGCTTGCGGGTAGCTGGGTGACTGCGGCGAGATTGGCATGGCCGTGGCGCAGGGTAGTGGCACAGCTGCCTGCGCAGCCTTGAAGCGGCCAGTAGCCTGAACGGGTGCACATGCAGTCTCTGAAAGGGGACGTGGGCAAGTCTTGCTGAATTGAGACTGCAAATGAGGTGCTTCAAGGCAACCTCTTACATCCAATTGTGGATCACAGAAATGGCTCTGAGATGGGAAACAACCCAAAGCTGCAAGGCCCCCAACCCCACTGAGCCCCATGGTTACCTTGAAGTTTCTGATTTCTGATCTATGTTTGACTCCTTCGACCTGACCGTGGCAACTCAGCAACTCATCGAAAGCTGATCATGTGCACAATCCACCTGATCTCCCCCCATGCCAACTCAACGCCCGGCTAGCTGAAGGCTCTCTCTGCATGCCTTCAAATGTAGCTCCTCGGCTTCGGCCTTCGCTGCCTGACGTTGCCACGCGTTTGATTCATCGCCGCGACAAAACTCGACATCCCAACCTGTGATTCGGGCACGAGCCTGTGCCCAGGCAATGGGTAAGTTGGGGTAAACAAGCCACAAAAGAAAGGTTCCCCAAAAGCAAACCAATCCCCGGTCCCAAAGATCAGGGTTTCCCACACACCAGAGAACAACAACCAAAAGGGAAACAAACCAAACAAGAAAAGGGTTAACCCGCAACCTTGATCGACGATGAACCGCACGGGCGGACCCCTACCAATCTGCCCCGGGCCGATGTCTCTTTCTCCACCGACGAAGGTGATCGACGCAGGGGACCCGGCGACGCTCATCCGAGGCGCGACGGACCCGCAAACTTGAGCCAAAACACCACAGGTCGGTCACTACCGCGACGTCCCTGATGATGATATTAACCATGGCTAATCACACCCCCCTCACGAGGAGCCCGTCATATGACGGGTGGAGCGTGCCATTTACTGATAGGATTTAACTGCTCGCATGTGTCCGCAAACAGCTGGACACTACCGCCGTCAGCGGTGGAGCAAACCCACAAAGGCAGTTGCGCGACATCCCGGGCATTAAATTCCCGCCACCACCCCGAATTAATCGGGGTAACGCTGTCCAACATACCTTGTGGAAAGGTCCACATGACGACACTAGGTCACAACTGTTTGCATCAACAATGCAAGAAGTTTAATTCTTATCAGAAGCCATGAAAAAAAGATAACGTATGTCCATTAGTACCCTCGCCTAACGGCAAGAGGTACTCCTGACCATGCGTACCTGAAAAATGCTTGAATTCCGCAAACCCGGGAGTAACCCCCCATCAGTTTGCTTTCCCTCTCACTCACACTGCTTCCGGATGAGCACGTCCAGCAGCTCAGCAGCGGTACGGGAGAGACATGACCTCCGCGCCTCAGCGGTCCGGGAGGAACATCACCACCTCCGCACCGCGCCGACCATTGGAGAATAGACGCAAGCCTATCGGCCGCAATCTCCGTGACTCAGCCTACCGGCTATCGTCACGTCTCCTCCGGTCACGCCCGCCCCGCGCACGGTCCCTGTCACGATCCCTTTCGGATCTCCTGCGATCATCTCGCCTTCGATCCCGCTCCCGATCGAGTGAATCATCATCACGACGATCACGAGCATCGTCCCTCCTCCTGTCGCGATCATCCTCGCGCCGCGGACGATATCTGCGCCTCCTCGACTCTCTGGAATCCCTGGTGTCCACGGTCCTAACGGACCTCCGAGAAGGAGTACGGGAAACATCCGATTCCCTACGCCTCCTCCCAGATTGAGAGTTCGTCACGATCTGGTTGAGAGCCTCCAGTGCCGACGCGTCCTCACCATTTCTGATGAAATCCCTAACCTGCTTGTTCAGCACTCTGTTGGTGGAGATCGTCAAGAAAGCGTCCACCACCGAACTCTCAGGCAGCACCAGGAAGTGACCCTCCACCGGGCTCGCCACGGCCCGCTCAGCAGACTGCAGCCGGATCTCCCCGCCTTCAGGCTTCTTTGCCATCGCCTTGGAGGCAGTCAAAGGCGCTACCGCATCCTTTGCCGAAGATCTGCCAAGCGCGGAGTGAAGATCATCCCCGCTAGCTTCTCTCGCTGCCGCACCTGGTCTGCTGTCGACGTCGCCAGGCCTCGTGGACGCCTCCCGCTTTGTCGACTCCTTCGCAGCCTCGTCGGGATCCCAACGGGACTTCCTTTCTCTCTTCTGCCCTTCGGCCGACCCGCGGCTACCGCCGGGAGCGTCACCTCCGCCTGTCTTCTCCTTCTTGACCTCAACCTTCGGTTCGGCCTGCTTCGTCTCCTTAGCCACAGCTTTTGGAGCCGGAGCACCCTTCGCCTCAGATGCTGAAGCAGCCTTCCCTCTCGGCTCGGCCTTAGGAACCGGGGTCATTTTAGCCTTGGCACTCGGCCTGGCCCCTTCAACCACCATCTCGGCCCAAGACTTCTTCGGCTGAGCTGCCGCTGTATCTACCTCCATCGGAGCAGGTCCAGCATCGTCCTTCGCCTTTGGGACAGATGGGCTACCGCCCTTACCAGATCCTTTACCTGGCACATCACCGGTGGTGGGCCGGAAGGACTACCGCCCTTACCGCCCTTTTCCCCTTTCTTCCCTTTTCCTTTTCCGCCCTTGGGGACCGGCTCTTGCTTGGGACCAGGACCCGGCGCAGCATGATGCACCGATTGGAGTCCCTCGATGTCCACGTTCAAAGGTTCGGGTTGACGACCGTCAAGAACCGTCCTCACCCTTTCGTCACTAACGTAGACGAACGGGTCACGGAAGGGTGCGGGAGGCTCCGACTGTCCGGCGCTGATCGCCTTCTGCACCTTGGCTATCGCCTCCTTCAACCTCTTCTTCTCATCGTACCCCGTCTCCGATACCATGTACTTCCTGAGCTGCGAAATCAACGCATGACTCTCCAGGATG